CGCGCTTCAATTATGTTTAAAGTAGGTTTCGTACCATAAAATGGGTTTTTTTAGAATTCGTTGAAATTTATTATATATAGATTAATATATAATATATAGATTAATGTATATATATATATATATATAGATTTAAATATGACATAATTATTGACGCAATTAGAAAACGACCGACTATTCGGAAGATGAAATATGCGCAACTAAAAATGATGTTCTATACGTGTTCCTTGAAGTTAATGTCCTATTTTTAATCTTTTCTTAGCCACACTTAGGATTTTAATGAAAAACTATAACGATATTAAGGATCAATATAAAGATATTATACGGAAATTTTAAAATTAGTCTTAAATCAAGATAGATATACACAAGCAGGAATATTATAATATTCTCAGAAAATTCTTATTATATTATAATATTCTTAGACGATTCTTATTATATAATATTATAATGTTCTTAAAGGATTCTTAATCTTGAATTGAGCTCTAGTTATAGGAAAATATTTTTTTCCACAAACTTATGTAGGGCCCTTAAATATATCTACTAAAAATCCGGTTCTCTGCGATACAACTGCCTTAGAGGCCTCAAAGACGGACAAGCGATCTCATAAAGAGGAGAGCCAATCGCGCGAAATATTCGCCAAGTCAAAATCCCTCTTCTCGCAAATCCCTTTTCGCACATCTCTCCCGTACGTTCTAACGCGATAATCGAGAAACGAAACAACCCGTATAATTCGCAACATCATCGACTGCGTTTGTAACGCTCAACACGATAAAGCTGGCGAATACACCGGATACCACGGATGCCGAATCGGCCGATATTGGATCAATCTAAAAATTCATATCCAAAAGCAAAAAATAATTAAAAAATTTACATACACACGTGATATAGTAGTGTTGTGTCGGTCAACTTGGGCGACCGGCCGGTCTTATTAGAGGAGTGCCCGAAAGTGTACAAACAAGAGAACGTACGTACACTGATTAACGGCGGAAAGATATACGAAGAGAGACGGCTATTTGCACTTGGCAATTATCGTCGTAGCGACGAGAATGGACGTATGCATTAGCAGACGTCCACCTGCGGTGAGCAATTATCAAGACGCGACTTGTATAACGGACTGCGGACATAAAGAGGAACGAGCGAAAAAGGACAGTGAGGGGCTTGTTAAATACTCGGCGTTTGTATTTCGCAACGGCGCGTGTACGCACCGTGAAATACTAACAAGCGGCCATTATCGAACAATGGTAAACTAAAACGCGGAAAGGAGGAAGGAGCCCTTTAATTGTTCCGACGGCGGCAACAAGCCGGCCGACATCGAAATCTCATATTTTGGCATAGAAAATCGCTCGGACGATATTTCGCGATGTGCAGCTGAATTGTAAAAACGAACGCAATGAAGATTCGCGTTCCTCGCGCCCTCCATATATCTCCATCGATAGCGGTAAAGTGCTCGAATGTTTGAAAATCGCCGTCGGAGAATCGCGTTATATCTTCTCAGGGTTTTTCGCAAGCGTGGAGTAGGATTGTAATTATCGTGCGGACGCAATCACGATTCTCGAACTTTGTGCTACTTTATTCGACACAAAGTGTCACGTTGCGCAACGATAACGCGCATTTAAGCGTTAACGCCGAAGCGCGGGCGAGAAGTTCCGCATTATAAATGTTAAACGTGGAAAAAGTAAAACGAGACGAGAGCGCTTACCTTAGCCGGCAAGTTTCGCTTCAAGGGCCATTAAAAATTCTAGACGCGTCACTGCAACGGAGATTCCCATTTCGTGCGGCGATAAGGGGCGAGCGGGGGCGGCTTTCCAAATCCCGCCTCCTGTCTCCGCAGCCGACACTGATAATAACAATAATAGATGCCCTCATCTGCAATTACAATAAGCAGTTAGCGGGCTATAAATCACAAAGTGGTCGGTCGCTTTCTTTCCGCACGTACCATCGGGCCGGCGGGGAGGAGGGGGGGACTTCTTTCTCGTTCCGCATCGATTCCGGAAGTTGACGAAGAAGAAGAGGAGTGAGGAAGAACGGCTATTTAATTAGCGGCCCGACGACTCGCCGCGACGCGAAGAAAAAATCTCCCCTAGTCGCCGCGAATCGTCCCCCGCCTCCTCCTCCCCCGACTAATGCACAAGGCGAATCCGGTAATTAGCTTCTCGTAATAAGTAGGTAGAGAGAGCCGGTCTGAAAAAGAAGCGTGCGCTCGCGACCGAGACGCGGAGCCGCCCACGAAACTTTACGACGAGAGTTGTCCCACCGCTCGGTTATAATTTGATAAGCGTCGGGTGTACCGGATGTATCAGTTAATACGTATCCCCGCGATTGCAAGAATCATCGAAGGTCGTGCGATCTCGAAAGATCGTTGCCTTTGAAACTTTAACGAGAGAGAGAGAGAGGGGATCATGTTACGCCACGATAAGAACAATTAGCCGCAATTGTATGATTCAATAAGTAATTCTATTGAGAACGCATATGTACGATCGGAGAATCGGAGTATTAGCACTTTGAACCGCAAAAGTCGTTACCTTCGGATCTTGCATTTGAAATTAAGTTCGGGGGAGCAGGCTACTAAAATAAGAACCGGTCTATCAACGGAAACTCTACAAACTGTATAATTTACGAGAATCAATAGTACTTGATATTCGATTAGCTTCACTATTAAGAGACTGGTTATCGGCGTTACGCGAACGTCCGCTATCACCTAACCTTACACAGTCGTCGACGTGAGTCGAATATCTCGGCGTGTATCATAATATCCGTGATGTTTGATCGAGACAATATTTTCTTTTCTCATACGTCGCTACTCAATACAGTACAGCTTTCAAGTTTCGGTTAGAAACTGTTTTCCTCAAATTTTCCACAGATCTTTTGATTCATTATATATATCTTCTTTACGGAAATAAATAACACATGTGAATTTCTCTAAACGAATTTTTGTACCTTTGGGACAAAAAACCGAAAGAATCCGCGGAAAAACTGAAAAAAAAAACAAGTTTTTTCCTTAACTTAATAATAGTTGCTTTCAAACAAGCACAAAACCGAGACATAAGACATCTTTAAGATGTCTTTAATTAAGACATCTATAAGATACGACTTATGTCCCGGTTTTAAGTTTTACGTTATCTGGGACAAGTCGACACAAGTCTAGTTATATTGTCTATTATTCTTTTTCTCACTAAATGCGAAATAAGGACAAATGATCCCACACATCACGTTTTATCCAAGGGACGTCCTTAGGACGCGTCCTCTGGGCGCCTTTAGAATGCCCTTTGGAGGTTTGTGCTGTATGGGATCAACTTGTGTCACTTTTGCTATAAAACAACAATGTGTATGATCATACTTTGCAATGTATCGTACGAAACTGTGACTTCCACGAGGTCATATTCTCGCCATTTCGTCACAATTCAGCGGCTTCGTGCGGCAAGTACTTATTGCAACGAAAGGGTTGATTGTTCTAGCTATTTTTATCTTTACCTTTTCCGGAGGTCCATCTGAAAGCGAAAATATAGTAACGAGTACACGACGACTCAACCCGCGCGAAACTTATCGCAATTGAGTTACGACTACCGCGTCTGCGCTGAGAGATGGCGGCACCGTCGCGTTTCATTAGACTCGTTGATACGGCATATGGCGTGCTTTTAAACGGCCCAAGCAGCACGTAAACATTCGCTTTACGTTCACTTGGTTTGGTTATGTTCAAACAAAGTAGGAACGTTTGAAGAACATACGTTTTAGAACCTTTAATATATATCTTACATAGCAAAAGTGTCGCGATATTATGCTGCTCTGTTACAATTCTATTTTTTAATTAAAATACATATACATCTTGAAGTTTGCTTATGTCTATTTATTAATATATTAATATCTTTTAGTATATTTTTTTAATAATCTGTTATAAATGTGTAAATTTGAACATTGAATATTCTTTATATATGCGTCTTTAATAAGTTGAATGTCGAAACAATCGCCGGTGATCGGTACTTTGATACTACTGTGTTTCGTTAAATTACATATCGAGTATAATTAATTGGGAATTCAATTGTATGATCATTAAGAAACTAACGATAACAGATATATGGATCTCGAGTCATTTACAATATCTTTGGTCATTCAATTATCGATTAAGCTTCTGTACGTGCAACGGAAATCAAAGCGACAGTTTGCGTGTTAAAAAGGACGTAATTAAATAACAGTTATGAAGAAACTTTTCGGCAAATTTTCGACGAAATAGGTTTTGTTGTTGATATAACATACCTCATTTTTGTTGGATTCCATTCTAGCTGAGGTAAATGGAAAGTCTCTCGTGAAAATCAATTTATTATATCTTTATACAAGAATATCAATTTTTTTTTATTATATAAGTGTAACTATATATGATATAAAAATTAATTTACAATACACCTATGAACGTTAATGGATAACAAAGTAGGCGTCATAAGCTCGAGTTATGCTTATTACATGAGATAATAATATATGTAAGAGCTTCTCTCCTAAGCGCTGTTAAAATTTTAATTAATAACGAGAGAGAGAGAGAGAGAGAGAGGGGGGGNTATTACATGACTAACAAGTCTATAATATTCATCTTAATTGTTATAAACAACATTTTTGTGCGCTCGTGTCGTCGTTGACATGAATATTATGCTATTATTAGATATTTGTATGACTACTATTCGATTGTGCAAATAAGTATAAAGAAACAATACGACATATAGCACCTGCATTTCGACAATTACGACTCGAAAATGTGCCAATTCTGATCGATTTCAATCCTTATATGCTACACTTAATTTAATATGTTAAAAGAATCTTCTCTTAAAATTGCGATCTAAATTTATCGATGTGAGAAAGTGAAGAACGCGAAGTTTCCCCGACAAGGTTTTAATGGACAGGTACCTAAATTCATCGTGCTGATCTTCAGTGCTTAATTCATGCCTAATTAGCCCCGATCGCTCACTCTCAACCGCTGCAGTTTGGAATGACATTTCTCCCTGTTATTAATTCAGATATTTGCGACTCGCAGATTCACAGACTTGCAATTCTCTAGTTCGAGCACGCGATTCCAACCGCAAAGTAAAAGATAAAATATAAATATGTAAAGTGCACTCGGCGCGAACGGATGGAAGAGACGAGCAAATCGGTCGATTGTCCGCGCGAGTATAAGTTACAGCCGATGCTCATTCTGTCGATAACGATATTTTCAGGTCGTAATGATCGTATACATACATTATGTACAGAAGCACATCTCTTATACATAAAAATATGCATATATATTATATACTTCTTTTTTATATTATATGTATTCTCGATTCGCGCACATGCGATGAAGGTGCATGTATGACCTAATACGAACTTACCGCGAGAACGTACAATAATAGATGTGATGTTTCTACATAGTATTACGTAGCTCTATTCTACCAGTATTATTATGAACGATAAATATAAACGTCTCTCTCGACGAAAGTAAAGCTTCATGGTGAAATCGTTACGACGTGATCTCGCGGATCGCATAATAATTTAGTCGAATACGTAAGGGAAGCGTGACCGCGGGGGAGAATCGTACATGAGAATATTTGCTGAATAATACGTTCCTCAAAATATCTCAGAGGAAACACCGGATTGATATTCCTGCAAAAATGACGTCGAGCCTCGCGATCGAGTACGATGTCGCGACGGGCCCTTCGAGAGAGGAAGAGCGAGGTGTCTCCTGTGACGGGAAACGCGCAGTTAGTTTTACATTAGCGGTTATCTCCAGGTCGTAAGCCTATTGTTAGACTCGAGGTAGCGTGTCAGCTCGAAATTGCGTGCCGCGCTGGTCTAATCCGCGCGACCTAAAAGTAGTCCTTAAGTAATGACGCAAAGCGGCTCTCTCGCCATTGCCTTCGTCGCTACATTCGGCCGATCTCCTTTCCCCCTTCCTTCCTGCCTGCCTTCCTTCCGTGATATTTCTATTTACGACGCGGCGTCGACAGCGTCGTCGGCGAGTAATGACCGATCCCCCGCTTTCCCAGGGGGGGACAGCGACGACGACGACGATCTCTCGAAATCATCGGCGTAAAACTTTCGAAATTCGTCCCGATAAGGTCCCCCCTACAAATATTTCAACGTCCCGACGTGGAAGGCGCCGATCTCAAGAGAAACGCGATTCCTCGACTTCATCCCCTAATGAGCGCCATGTAACGATCGCCGTATGGTCGGCCGACAGAAATTCCCGACGGATAAGACGGAAGTGAAGATGCTCGAGAGGAGTCTCGAGAAACTCAATTCCTCTTGCTGGAGTTGATGAGATATTTGCAGCAGTGCGTAAGTAGATGCTTCTCGCCGGTGACGTCATGCTGCACGGCCGCCGAGGTCGTGGACTCCCTGGTGTAGACGTCCAAGCCGTACTGACCCTCCTCGGGGAAGCTTATGGAGAAGGTGACCACGTCATCGTCGGCGATGGAATGCGTCACGTACTTGGACAGACGCTTCTCCTCGATGCCGTTCTTGTGCAGGGTCGCCATGAAGTCCGTCAACGGCCTCGACATGCGAAATTGAATCTCCAACTCGCGCCCGGCGAACACCAGTGCCTCCTGAAATCGATAGATCCCGTGATTGTAAAACTCATCCATCCCCCCGGCAGCACAGCGTGGCGTTATAAAGTCGATTGATCCCTCTCCTTCTTTTTTTTTTTTAACTTTATACTCTCTACAAAAGGATGTGAAAATAGGAAAAATCTATTCGTAGAATCGATCGTGAGCCGAAACGTGGCGCGAAACGCTCGCTTCGTGTCAAATTTTTCCGAACAAGCTGCAACGTTATATTCAGTGATCGTGAAAGTACATTTTATAGAGTTTAGGATCGTTTCTCTCGAACTTTATCGCATAGAATTTTATTAAAAAAGAGATAAAAGTTCCGACGGAGGAAATCCCGCAGTTTCTGCTGCCGGTTCTTTCAGTTAATTGAGTATACGGCTAACTTCGGATGTTATTGATTTTTCTAACGATACTAACAGATAATGTTAGCTGTATACTCGGTTATTGAAAGGCAGTCTCATAATCAAAAATTGACAGTGCTACTACTCCTGATGATTCATTGTACTGCGTGCTGACGTCCATTTCTACGGCAAATTCATCACAAGATCTCGTTACGAAGTAGTTAGTTAATTTTCACTCACCTGATGAGTGATGGGTATAAGTCCAAATAATCTGGTTGCTTTGGTGGGGCCCCATTCGCCGCTGGCGCAGTCCGGCAACGGCACCATCACCGTCTGCAATTCCTCGCATGCGATTTTGAATTTGCACACGCTCTTGAACTTCATCGGCTCGCCGGTCAAGTACTCCTTCGGCGTCACAGCGTTGGCAAATATGTCCAGGAGGAAGGCGCCCGAGCACGGCGCATGAACTCGAAACGCGACTATGTTGCCCACGACCGACTGTAAGAATTTAATGGAATTCGCGAGGTCGGAATTGAATCGATAAAAGAGAAGCTATTTCAGTATCGTTGCTCGCGCTTTAATATTCCTCCTTGATTCTCAAGAGTAAATTTTCAAGTCTTGCAACAATTTTTTTACAAAAATCTAAGGCTCTTTTGATATTCAATCTACTAAAAGTTTTATGGACCAGTAAGAGCTTATGCACGGTAGTTATAGTTAATTCAACACGGTGTCTCAGCATAAGGAGAACATCGAAATATCTCGGGAGCATAAAAGCAATCGAAAGAAATGACCATAAGAAGAATTTTCCTTTCGCGGTATTCCTCCTTCGAAACCATTCAAATCTAAACACACTTCTCATCAACAAAAGAGACATTCCCTCCTTAAGCTGGGACACCGTATATAAATGAAAAATAAAAAATGTATTCAGTTTATTGTTATCAATAATCAATCGCACGTATCTCACTCTCTCGCGATATTTGAGCAGTCAAACGGTGCCATTTAAAAGCCACGCGGGATAAATCGCCCACGGGAGACGCGGACTATCAATTTACCTGCATGACAAAACGCTTGAGCGACACGCCGTCGTAACCATCGCCGTCGTTGTCGTAAAACTTGAGATTATAATGAAAGATAAGGGATGATTGCATATGCGCCGGCATCGCTATCCTCACGGTCGCAGCGCCAGTGGAATCCGTGTACATAACGGCATTCGTATTCGTATCCGGAAAGTAAAGACCGTACCTGTAAGCGCAGAATTTATCCGAACGGTATTTTCTCTCTGCATGGCGGCTTATTGTTGTTGCTTCCTCCGACTTCGTCGATTTAACGACTGCATCTCCCAACGCGTCTCGATAAAACATTAACTTGTTGGGCATTTAAAGTTGTCGCCGTACACGACGAATTTAAATCTTCATAATTAATGAGCGAGCGCGTAATCATCTTAATCGTCGGGATGTAATTGGAAAGGGGATTTACGAGGGAAAGCTCTTCCGCCCCTCTACCTCCGTCTGATCTCTCTTTGATATTCTAAAAGGAAAAGGAAGAAACGTTGGCTCACCTGAAGAATAAAGATCGCACGAAAGGCAACTCCTCGAAGTCCTTGAGCGAAATCGGTTGCTTCAGCAACTGCCACTCCTCTTGCAGGGGGAAAAATTCGTATATGAATTCTCGGGGGTCCGTCAAGAAATAATGATCGTCGTACTCGTACCTGAGCGAAACGTGACATTGAACTGTCGCTTCATTCGTCGCGCGATTATATAATATCGGATCGCTCCCGCCTTCGATGCCTCGACTTTCTAACATTGGTGTTTACGACATGTTTAATTTTTATCGGGATCTTCACGCCGCAAATAAGCTATAAATTTGGGGATCGAAAGAAGTACCGCTTGGAAGAAATGAAAATTTTAAACCCTAGTGAAGTTTGAAAGTTGTAGGTCGAGTGAAAGAGGTCAATCCGATCGTTCGGGCTATCAGAGTGGGTGTTAAATTTCAAACCTCGAGATCCTACGAGGAGGTAAGAGAAGAGGGTGGCCCGCCGTACCTGAGACTGTCGTTCTTGGCTTTCGCCTGACCGGGACGGGGAACTTCTTTGGCATTGACGAGATGTCGCGCCCCCCAATTACACTGAACGAATCGCCATGCACCTGCCACGTACACGGCGTTCCAGCTGTTCCGGAATCGGTTGTCCTCGAAGCAGACGCCCGGCTGATAGCCGGCCGATTTGCTGTAACCCTTGATGACCACGCAGTGCAGGCCGGCGTAACTGTATTCGAACACGCCGCATTTTAGACGCTCTCTTGCGCGCTTTCTCGCCCGTGTAACTTATACCGCCGTTCCGTCACACACGTAACGTGGAGATAAATGTGACAAATGGCGCTTTTCTATCATCGCTCAGTTGTGTGTAAGTAGGTTCGGGACGCGACGTTACCTGCACAATCGTTTGAACAAAACGTGGTAACTCTCCGTGCCGTGTTTGATGCCCCGCAACAGACCCATGGGAGTGTCCCCCCGTAGGTTCTCGTCGAACTGCATAGTGTTGAGATTTTTCACGGTGATCCAACGGAATATCGTTCGCGCCTTTTCTATATCCGACCCGCATCTGCTCACCAACTGCCGCACTAAATCAGTGAACGTTTTTTGATCTTCCTGGGCTACCTAATAATGATATCGGTATATCGTAAATAAGTGGCCATCTTATGAAAGCAAGCATATTGATAATAGGTCCGGCGCAATCAGCCCCGCTATATAAGGTGCTCATCTAAATATCTCTTTTGTTTTTAATGACATTAGAGCACAATTTGAAAGGAACACATCGGAAGGGAAATTTCTCTCACAGTCATTTCTTTCGATTCTTAACGTCCTCTCGATGTACAGTTCGTGAATATTTCTCCTTACTGAGACACCCTATATATCGTCATGGTCATGATTTGGCGGCACACAGCGTCGTAGTCGAAAGCAACGTGGTCGTATAAAGAAAAACTTTTGCAGATTATGATGCTTGGAATTTTCGCGTCGCGTGTATTCACGCTCGAAGCGTTGAGCGTGCGTAATTAAACCGAGAGATTGAACGACGATTGCGAGGAAAAACGAACTATCGTAAAACGGAGCCGGAGAAGGAACGACGATAGTGCTGCTTGCGATAGACATTCTGCTTCGGCGACGGAGATGACTCGCGCAGAGAAACTCGCCGAAAGAATTCCACGTGGAAGGGCTTACCGAAATAGCTATCTGATCCATGTCGGCGAACTCCAACGGGTCATTGTAGATGTGATACTTGGCGAGGGCCGGGGGCTGCGGAGGTGGCGCGCGCGATGGATAAGGCGGAGGCGGTGCTTCCTGAGCATAACCGTCTCCCTCGTCGAGGTATAAACTCTCTTGGAGCATGTACTCGCTCCTCGCCTCATTGATCAGCTCCAGCATCTCCGAGCTCTGTTTCTCCACCAGCGCGGCGGTTGCCGCCCTATAAATTGATCGGGAGTAACGAGGAGCTTTGCTAACGCGAAATCCCGGCTTGTCGGCCCGCGAGCTTGTTTATCGTCCGAAAAAAATGAGGGAGAGAGAGAGAGAGAGAAGGAAGGAAAAATATAAATCCGAAACTACGCCGCAGCTCGTAATCGTTGCATGCGTAATTCCTTCGTAAATTCTTCCGCGGCGAAAAATGCGCGGAATCGATATTAACGTGAACCCGCCATGGCGATATAGAGCGATCACGGTGGAAAACGTCGGTCGCGTCCCGCGAGATAAACAATTTTACGCGCGAAAATAAACGGTCGAGTTATCGGGAGAAAAAGGCCTTCGCGAATTCTGATGGAATATAAGTTTACGATTTATTTTCGACGAAGCCTGCGGTCGGACAAACGTATCGATCTCATCGATTATTTGTATGCGTTATCTTTTAAATTACATATTCGTAATAAACTAGGGTCGATACCCAGAAAATTACACGTCGTTTTACACGTCTGACGCGCGATTTTTAAAGGCGCGTTAATTGCATAACAAATACCGTTCGTGTTCCAGCATCTTGCGCGTGAGACTCTCCTTCTTCTTGTCCCTGCGTAGAGTCATGTTCTTCTCCAAGTCCTCCTTCTCCTGCTGAAATTGTTGGGTACGAACTCTTCCGCCTTTTTCCCGTTCCCATCTCGCGGACAATTGTTCCAGCTCCTTCTCCCACTCGTCCTTTTTAAAACATAGACACACACATAAACACCCCACAGACATGTTTTACGCACACCTCCACGAGAGATTAATTAATTACGAATGGCCGCACTAATGCATCGCATTTACTTTTTTCCGTTAATGAGATCCGTGCTCTCGATTACCCACCCGGAATTCCTCGCGGATTCGTCTGTCCTCTTCTTCGCGATGGTGAGCGAACTTCCGGTATAAATCGTCTTCTTCCTTCCGATGCTTCATCTCGAGACGTGTTTGCTCATCGCGATCCTAATGCAGCGTCGACGAAAGAAAAATAATGAGAGAACCGTAAATCCACCTTGCCTATTAACGTTCGATCGAGAATGTGGACTGCATAATTAACGATAAAATTAATTGTTTTTTTTTCTTAAATAATAAAAGGAAAAAGAGCGTTCGTAGTGAAACGTTCAAAATATTATCGTAGCAATATATGATTATAATAAAATAACGCCGCCACTTTTCGTTTCAGCTGCGTAATTTTGCGATTTTAATGTAACAATGTAACGTATTAATTTCAGACGTTGTTTACTTGGAGAATTTAAATATAATATTTCGCTTATGTATTATATATTATTTCGTTTCATGTATAAATTTCAAGAGGCAGCTGTGCGATCGTCAGGTTATCAATGAAAGATTAAAGCGTCGTTATGCGCCAGGAAGGCTAATCGTAAGAGCTTGCGGTCGGACGCAATGAAACGTTTCTATTTCTTAAAATGCCCGCAGCGCTGAGGTAGGTGTACTCCACTTTTTGTATAATTTACTTTCACGTCGCTTTCATTCGTTTCCAAGAGTCTCCTCGGGGAAACGGCGACTCGCTGCTCGCCGACAAAAGTGAACTAATCCTCCCTCTTCCGGTGTATTTCTAAAAAAATTATATGTTGTGTCTCTCCTTGCGCGACTTGTTCCGTTCGTATTGTCGCCAGCGGAAACATTAATGCAATGAAAATATGAACGGTGGAAAATGTTATCGGAGGAAGAATGTCCCTTTGAAGAGCCACGGGATTTCTTCGATACAATTTTCGCAATGCGAAGCGGTGGTTTGCGACACGTAAAGTGTGCGCGTTACATCGATGCATCTTTGTGAGATCTTTATCCCACATCTTCCGGAACGGCCAACGCGTTACGTCATTTTATCCTGCGCCGATATACGGCGATCGGATACGTGTGCAATTTGAATGAGTCGGATCTATCGACGGAGAAACCGGCATTATCGCCGGTAATTACACAGAAAAAAGCGCACTTTTCTCGGCTAGAGGAGTGAAAAAGTCGCATTTTCGCTTCCGAGAAAACCTGCCCGCGACATCTTTCAGAGCGGAATTCTGCGGTTCAGCCGCACATAATCCGAGGTGTTTCTTCTTTTATCGCGTTTTACTGTTTCGAGTTACGTTAGAAACAGACGAATTATCATTTTTTTTCAAGATACAAACCGTGCAAATGAATTTTTGAGGCGAGAGAGCGCATGGGAACAGAGAGGGAGAGAGAGAGAGAGAACGTTCTCTCTCCCTTAAAGGTGAGATTTGTTCGCCGTTTAGAGTTCATTCCGAGGAAAATGGGACACAACGGCCTTTAACGGATTAATTTTCCCTAAGCATTTACGCGCGAAGGCGCGTGAGAGACTGCGGGATACATGCGTGCGCTATCCCCGCCGGCTCTTTCCGCGGCCCGGCAACGATTCTCTAATTAGCCATCAAGTGCAGAAGTACCGCAAGCGGAAATAATTCTGCTTTCCCTCCACCACCGCCGTGCCGCCGCCCTATGTTCGTGCAAACGTAAAGCTTTCTCTCTCTCTCTCTCTATTTCTCCTTCGCGTGTCCTGTCCGCCTGGTAGTTTCCCGTACGAGGGAAAATAAGACAACGGTGTGTGAGCGCGCGTTCTTCCGTGGTTGGAAACAATTTGAATAACCGTGAACGACAACGCGCAGCTACCGCCACGTCACACATTGTTCCTGAGTAAGTCGTGCGCGTCAACAAGGAAAGTTAATTCGCTCCAGGAAGTCTTCGCGAATCTCGCGCTAAACGAATCTTGCTGCACAATCTGCGACCGGTCGCGGCGGATCGCTTGAAAATTCGCGATTAAATTTCGTCGGGGGCATTAATGGCGAATGGCGGAAATTCTAACGAATTCGGGAACCGTTCGTTTCTCAGTAAGAATTTTATCGGGGAATTTCGAGCTGTGTGGTAATTTTTTAATTTCCATGTGTAGAATATCAGGCGGAATAATCAGGTGCGCATCATTATTAAAAGCTCTTCATTTTTACCTTTTTTCATTATCGAACAACCTCTCTTGCGTGAAGGTTGCCGTGTTAAGCGATCCTTTGTGGAATCCGCTTAACTTCTCCCTTACGAGGGAGCCCGGGAGGGTGGATTAATAAGTGGCTGTATGTCTAATTCCCACTTATTCCGAATCCCTTAATCATGCGCGTCACGTTGTTGGTGCGATTTTTGCCCGCTCGTCGTTCGTTCACAACACGTCTGTGTAATTCCGGTCATTCGATCATAGTCACGTGCAACGATCTGTTACGCGTCCCCCTATCGGATTCTCGGGGGCCCGTCAATTAAACGTAATGCCGGTGATTGTCGCGGTGCCGGCGTGAGAAGGAAACTATCGCCGCCACGTAGCGATTATCTGATCACCGGCGGCGCGTGTGGGCGGTCGATACTATGCGAGCGTAGGAAGGACTCTCTGCGGAATACCGTATAAATCACGCCGACAATAATTCCGTGCTGCGAGAGAGAGAGAGAGAGAAAGGCGGCGAGAAAAATCGTGGATTGTCTGGCTTAACGAACCCGCGGCATTGCATCGCTACCGCGCCGGCTACCGCGGAAGACGAGAGAAGTGCGGGAAATCGTTTCGTTCGTGCCCACGCCGCTTTCGTTCGCGTAACGCCATACATAGGCCGCGTTTCGCGAGATAACTATAAATAAGGATCGACGGTGACGACCGTTTCGTCGCGAACGCGCTTTCGCGCATTGAGAGAAAACGCGGCCGATAGTGGAGCGACTAGCGGCTCATCGGCCTTATTACCCCCCGGCCGGCGCAGTTGGGAAAAACGGCAATCTCATTTTCATGTAAGGTCCGTTCGACGGCTCGCCGCATTCCGGCGGACGATCCTCCGACGACGATCCGCCACTTGCGACGCGGAATGCCGGAAGATCGGGACTGCTTAACGCACGACGCTGAACGATAACATCATACACGGAACAAAATTTAGTTGAATTTACCCGACGGTGAACGAACTAAACTTGCTGGTCCTTCGACCCAATTCTAACCAGAAATTCTGTTTCCATCGATCAAAATGCGTTTGGTTCGTCCACTGATTGGTAAATTCAACTTTCTTTTTCATGTAGATCTCTCGTGTCTACATCACGAAAAAAATGGTAAATTTTTTTTTTTTATTACTTGCACATTTGTTAAGTTTATCATTAATTTTTATTTATCGTCTTTGTAGGCCGGTTGTCAATAAAAAACCAATTCAATCTCATTGGGTCAGGTTGATAATAATAGTGATCATGCAGATCCAACTTTCTTTTAATAATAGTGGAACAGAAATAAGGTATAATGTTTTGTACAAAACGTGGAGAGGAGACAAGCGAAGAAAAATCTCGTATAAGCCTCGAAGGCCTACTGTCAAGGTTAACGCTCACACACAATGAAAGGAATAAGGAATAAAGAATTAAATATGGAGAATTAGGAACAAGAAATTAAATTTCGACATATAGACAACTATGCTTCAATCTACAATAAAGGGAACTAGGATTAGGAGAACACTGTCTATTCCTTATAACTTACGTGCTTACAGGGTTTAATAGTTTTGACTGAAAAAGTCAAAATATTTAATGATCATCAATATGATCATTGAAACAACAGACAGAACAAATGAAAGTCAGTTTGAATCAATATATAATTATCTACATTATAAAATATATAACGTAGACAACAATATATAATTATCTAATGACGATAGAAGTTCATTCGAAAACATAAATATAATCTCGTTTCAAAACTCGTTCTTATATTTTATTCCTTTTATTATGTTTTAAACTATAGCTTATTTCTAATATTGTATTCCACTAATTCCCCATATTTATTATATTCCTTGTTCTTTATTCCTTTCATTGTATCCGAGTCCTTAAGAGAGCGTCTCGATTTGGAAACGAGCCGCGAGATCTTGCAAAAATTCCGAGGTAGAGAGAGAGAACGCGACCATGTATCTTCACAACGCCATTGATCTGGATTTTATTACTACGGAAGTAGCCGGCAACCCATTGTGCGTATTTTCGCCCATACACACAATGGATTCCCCTGCTGCCCCTCTCTATGCCTCCTCCCGCCGCTTGTTTCAGGAAGAAGCTAATAACCGACGCGCTCGCGAGCGCAAAAAGTCAATTACCACGCGCGCCATTGTTCGCTTCTCCATATACTTGGAGAATTATCATTGCTAATTCGTGTTATTAATTAACGATTATTTTCACATGATTCTCCCACCGCCTTCCGACCAGCGCTCCGCGGTATCGAACGTGTGCACTTCGGGATTACCGAGGCCGGTGATCTCTGAGGGGGACGAGAATTTTCACTCTTCTTCGGAAAATCGCGATTCTTCCTCGGTAAGTGGGCCGTCATGTCGAAGCCAGCGCGGGCGAATCATAGACGTATCAAAGCGACGCTCTCGTCCTTATACGGCGGCGACCGTGACGAGAGCGATTACATCAACAGTCGTGGCCGATTGTGACTCACCAGATAATAATCGATGGGTTTCTCGCGGGCCTTGCTGTAGCCCTTCTGGAGCTCGGTTTGCTTAAGCGCATGGGCGATGTGAAGGGCGCTCGCGTCGAACCTGCCGTACTGATAGCTGCCGTCGCCCGAATAATTGTGATTGTACGGCGACGAGGTGCCGCCGCCGTGGAAATCACGCTGGGACGACGAGTTCGTCGCCGGCGGCGAACCGTGACCGTTCAGGTGCCTGGCATAATTAGGCGAGTCTACATTATCGTAACTGTAACAGAAGTATGCGACGGATATTCAGGAGGGTTGCGACAATTTGCTCGTGTTGGATCGGTCCATCCGTAAGTAGAGATACCTAGAGGTCGAACGGGAACACAGTTGCGTTTTTCTCTGCAATATTGGCGCTTTCATTAACTCCGTTACTTTTAGGCTCGGTCATTTCACTTTCGGATATATTCAACTAATGTAAGTAAGTATCTGAAGAGTATTCCCATACAGAAATAAACTATAAGAATACGAGAAAAAAAAAACCGGCATATTATTGCTCTTCGATAATGTTCTCCGATGATATTCTTCAATAATATAGCAATCATTTTTTCATATTTTTTGCAGTACTTTATTCTCGCAAGGGAACGTTCTTCAAATATTCATCCATTAAATAAAACTATTTGAGGATGGAACAACCGGTCCTTTGTATTTAACAAAATAACGTCAATAACACTCGAGAATTTCAGCTATAAAGAATGGTTGTCTTATTTCTTGAAAAAGTCACGCGTTTATTTACCGGTTAATACCCTCGGAATTGTCTTTTCCATCGCGCTCGCGTTTTGATCTCGAAAATATTGAGAAAAATATCTGATTATATTTGACCGAATAATCTAATTACAAAATAACAAACGGATGTATCCGAGTGTAATGTCCGATCATTTCATTCGATCAAGTCCGTGCCCTTATCCGGTGAAAATTACAACGGATATGCAAAGGGTGATCGGGTTTTATCGGTAACTGCTTCGGTAACTTCATCTAATACTTCATCGGATAAAAGTACCCATCACTTGATCGGACAATAAAAATAACATTCGAATACATCATTTAATCGATTCATCTGATGGAAATTCTTCTCAGAATTAATGAATTTTCGATAAAAGTGTTATTTAGAGAGATGTTTTTTCGTCTTCATTTCTTGTCGAATTAACGACGAGTCAGGCACTTATCATCAGCAACCAAAGCGAATGGAGCTGCGGATGTCCTTGATCCCATCGCGAACATTGCTCGTTACACGTTAGACGGAAAAGAATCCGGGTCGGTGCCGGCGTCGCAGATTACGTTAACCCACATATCCGCGACAATCGCCGCTCGTCCACCCGCCCGCCCCTCGCTATCCTTCCTCGAGCGCGACCCATAATTCCGGATAACTATAATAGACGCAATTACTCCGAGCCGGAGTTGCAATTAACGCCGGTGGCGGCGTCGCGGTTAAGTTCAGCGAGTGTAGCGATAAAAAGAAAAAAAGAAAAGGAAAGAAAGAATCGGCGAGATGTAGCTTGCACACGCCGGCTGTGAGAATTTAGTGTATCGCTTAAATGAATGTGTTACACCTCTCACTCGTTCTCCCGGGTTCATTCACTCGCGGTGGAGCCTACGCTCTCTCTCCCTCTCTTTCTCTCGCTCGATCTCTTTCATCTATCCCGTCAGCTCGCGTGATCCTCGATCAGCCGTGAGACTGGCAAAAGCCGGCTACAAAAAGCAGCATTAGACTGGTCGGGTCGACGAATCAATAACATTAGTTTATCTAAAAATTACTTTGAATCAAATAAATTTCTTACAGCATGCGATAACTTAGAGATTTTTGAATGCTGAAAATGATGCTGCGAATCCAATTTCGCAAGCACGTTAAGATTCTAAAATAACTGAGGTTTTATGTGCAAAAATTGCTTTTTTTACAACATTTGAAATTTTTTTGAAAGAAAAGTTATCTTGAAATTCTGATCAGAAGTCATTGTTCATCCCTTATAAAATGCATTTTATTTTTTTTTATTTCAATATCGTAGTTTTTAGTCATATTATGAACACATTTAACAGAATTTGTTATGATAAATTACACTGTGTATCGACTTTATACAAAGTATAAAGTATATATGTTATGTCTTCATTGTCATAGGTGAGAAATTTGTTCTTAGTAAAAATTTGTATTTAAATTCTTCATAACATGACTAAAAAAGAAAGGTGTTAAAATAAAAAAAAAATACATTTTATAGAGAATTTCATCACTTATCATTTATCACTTATGTCTTCTGATTAGCGTGTCAAAATAACGTTGATTTTTCTTTCAAAAAAAAAAAATTGAAATATCGCAAAGAAAACCACTTTTTGCATATAAAGTCTCAATTATTTTGGAAATCTGACGTACTGGTAAAATTTGATTTGCGACATCGTTTTCAGTGCCCAAAAATCTGCAAGAAATACCTTGTCTGTTTCATAATAATTAAAAAAAATATTTTTCGTACGAATGAGCCCCTGAAAATCAACCTCCTGTTATAGAGGATTGATGCGATAAGCATCTGAATAATTTCCCGATCCGGAAGAGAAAAGAGAATGAATCTGAAAGTAGAATAACGAGGAGGAGCAGAAAGAGATGGTCACACGCTGATGACGGACGATTTGGTTAATTGCTTTTAGATCAATTTTCTATTTAATTTCTCTGACCTTCTTCGGATTTCGTTTTTATTGACTAATTATTAATGTAAGACAGTTAATTATGGAAAATTACGAGACAGTCTGATGCGATAAATATCCGCGTGATTTCGATCTGGAGGAAAAAAACGGAACAAATTTGAAAGTTGAGTAACGAGGACCCGAAAGAAAGCCGAGCCGCCGACACGAAACTCTTCACGTAACGCACACGCGCATATGTAGGCGCGAACGTACGACTTTTGCGAGGCAGCGGCCATAAAAAGGCATACAAAACGCGCGCGTATGCGTGTGCGTAAAGTGAGGTTGCACTTCGGGAGACATTGAAACGTGCGATAGAGAAACGCGCGATCGAAATGCCGATAATTCTGATAAGATTTCGATAAATCTGTATAATAGAGAGAGAGAGAGAGAGAGAAGAAGGTAGGAAGAGAAAGGGAGAAATATAATCACGTCTTTATGCAACGTCTACATACGCACATATGTACATACATAATGCACTCGCGATTCTACGGTGAACAGGAACAAAACGCGTGATAATTCGCGATTTACGGCTCATGCGAGGCGACAGAGCGCGGCGATACAAACGCGACGCACCAGAGTATTTACTCAATCAAATTATCGAAGCTTGCGATCACGATTTCTTAATACTATACATCAGATCGGCATTGCCGATAGCTTAGCGGGTGTAGTTCTTCGGAGATTATTTATATCGGTGTATTACGCGATGTAGATTTCAGCTCTTTTCCCTTCGCTGACACGCACGCGCATCTCTAATCTCTTAACAATCTTAACGCGCTGCAACGTTTGCTCAATCGAATTACGAAATTTGGCGATTCGCGATTTCTTAATTTCTATCGACGAAAAGCGTGGAATTCTATAATGTACCGCAGGAATCTGCGTGCGTAAACGGTCATGTTTCGAGGCGCCTTCATTCAACAACTTGTGCAACAGTAGAAAAAAGAAATGTCGAGAACAAATGATACGCACGTAAGATACATATTAAACAACGATGCGTCATTTCTGCACACGGAGGAAAGATGAGTCAATAATGTATTCGGAGTTAATATCTGCCGGCCACCTACCAACCGTCCGTTTTATTTTTTTTGCGCTTCGTAGTGTTGCTATTACAGGATATATCGTAAATCCGGCGCTTGCATTCGATCGTAGATACCAGGTGCTGAACTAAAAAATGTAACGTTTGTTTGTACCATAGAAACGCCGAGTTTAGACAATTTTAACGATATAATTAATCAGAAAATTTGATTTTTGTTTCAGATTTGGCGGAGCTTATGACCACATAGTAGTCGTACTGGAGGATCGGGCCCAGCAGAGTTGGCTCGAAGGTAAATTTATAGACTTCCCATATTCTTGCATTTAACCCTCCGCGATCGAGAAAAGGGACATGGTTGTCCAAGTAAAAATCATTGAGTTAGAACGATCACAAAAGGTTTAACACGCTTGCACCCATGCGTATTGTTCTCATTAAGCCATTAATTCGGGTATATAATGTTATATTTGTGGTATTAGATCCGTAGCAAAGCGTGGCCGATTCGGAATTCCTGGTATTTCGGTGAGTCAGAAAATGAGCACAAAGATTTTTTAGGTAATGGGTGTGTTAGTAGAGAAAGCCAATGCGATTTGTTTAAATTGCAAATTTTCGCATGAACTGAAGAAAAAAATTAATTTCACTACAAATTATAGCCATCTTTAACTAGATCTCGAAGTTGGAGTCAAAAGTTCAAATTTTTGCTAGACAAAAACCTTTTTCTTATTTATAATGTATTAATGTCCGCGAAACGAGATATTTTTCTTCTCTCTCTCGACCTCGTCGAAAGCAACGTGATCTCCGGTTCGATTTTTCCTATGCGATTCGCGAATCTATTCTCGAATTTGCCGTATATGTTTTCTTAAATCGTCAAGTGCCGTTTCCTTCAAACGACTCGTTGAAATGATTGCAGTGTAGTATAGAAATGTGACCGACAATTGGAGGCTTGACGGAATGCTGAGGTCTTGGATGACTGGACGTCGCGGAATCTACACATAGAAAAAGTACTGAATTCAAGTAAATAATTACTCCAATACTTCTTAGCAAATTTTTACACGGATCAAATAAATTCTACTTGGATCGAATCAATATTTTACTTGGATAATCTATTTGGAAAATATTTTACTGAAGTAAATATCATTTGATCCGAGTAAAAATTTGTCAAGGAGTATTGGAGTAATTATTTACTTGAATTTAACACTTTTTTTCTATATATCCACAACGATAAGCTTGCAAAGCGTCATGACGTAGTGCATGTTGTGTAAATCGCATCGATTGCCGATAAGAAAAGTACCGCACGAAGGGAGACATACACAGTGTGAGATTACTTTGACAAGATTTAGGAACATATCGATGGCACACGCAGCGCGTATTTGTCGCGTCTGATTTGTTACGTATAAACACGCACACTCTTTCCTCGTTCCGTCTCCTTTTATATCCATTTTTACTCTCTTTTGATTCCGAAGACATTCTTTCAAGCGCAGCCATAAAGTCTAACGAAACTGTCGCGACAATTTAATACGGTCACCGTTTCTGCAGAAACGAGTCCGAGCGCTCATTGGCATTCAGGTTAAAGACCAAGTGCAGCATTCGCACACAATACCGACTCGGACTTCATCCCAGACGCCGTCGGATTAAGGCCAACGTAGTCGTCTTACATAACGAGCGAAGTGTGTAGTAACGCGGAGCCAAAGAATGTGCGTGCGTGACTAATAATTTTCGCAAAACCGAGCTCTGTCGTCAGGCGATATCGATTTATCTGTTAGTGAAGCTCCATTAAAGTGTAAAATGAAGAGTAAAACCATTTTCACGATATTGTCCGCACGTTTCGACGATTAAGAGTCTATATTGTGTGTGTACACATATAAAAAGAACGAGCAATGATGCATGATTTCCGAAAAAAAAACATTCGTACAAAACAAGAAACATTTACAAATTAATCAGTGTTTGTCATTAATTGTTCCTGTGTGCGTCAATTTTATAGCGATATTCCAACACACGCCAGTCTTTACATTTTTCAGTTGTTGATCTCGCGTAGAGTTTCAATAAAACATGGTCGTTCGCATGCTATGAATTAGAAATAAAGTATTGCTACCGCGGTCATCAAAGATTACTCGACTAAAATAATATCGACGACTCTCGCACCGGAACCTCCTCTGCTCACTCGGCGCACACGGATACACACTTTATTTCTACCGCCGTTCCTCGCGAAACCCGATTTCGAGATGTCGGGCAATTATTTCCAGCAGCGTTCGATCTCGATCGATAGCGGAGGGAAAGTGGTGAAATTAGACATAAATTCTGTCGAGCGTGCCATCCCCGATGTACATCCCCGACGTCGTAATACCGACATTAAAATCGCGGCGATTGTACATTTGTGTTTTCACGCAGAAGAAAGCTTAACGAGAAAACGTAAACGGCTCGCGAAACTCGTCGAAAGCGAGGGTCGGGAACGGTTTTGCCGAGCGACAAAATTGGAATACGGCGGGAAGCGTGTCGCGAAATGAAGCCCGTTGCTATGGGAAATCGGAGAGAAGAGCCCCTCTCTCCTTTATTCGCGCGATTCAAATAAGCTCACCTGATAACGCTTAGATATTCATCAAATTTATGCGGCGTTCCGTAAGCTCGAATGACTCGCGCGAGCGCGTGATTTACGAAAGGAACGAGCGGGAAGCATTTAAGGAGTCGTTTTTAAGGAGCCGACATCTGTTATCGTAGAATGATCCCGAAATGATTTTAACCCTCTGCGTCGGGAGCTTCCGTTCGACTCAATTGACGGTAATGACAAAATTATATTAAATTCAAATCACCCTACAGCCGACCATTGATGATGAATGGACTCCGTCCAGTCAATTTAATGATATTTACTAGTGAATTTCAGCAAGCAAATGATATAATCGTTACCCACGCACGCGCGAGATTATGTTATCGTCGGATTCCACGTGAGTGTGTTAACAACCGGAGAATGCCGGTAGAAAATGCACACGGTAAAAAACATTTTGCGTTAAAATCGGTCTATGTTAAAACTACTTTTATATTCAATCTTCAACATACTCGCACGGAAACAAATTAGCTAACTCCCACATACAGTAAAAAATGTTATGTTAAGAACGGTAAACTGAAATGTTACTTTAATATAGGAAATATGCTAAAAAGTGATATATTAACAAGGTGAATATGTCAATTTAACATATATTTATGTACTTTTCTGACATATTCCCCATGTTAAAGTAACATAAAAGTTTTGGCGGGCCGTTATTAACAAAACTAAAGTTTTTCACTGTGCAGGTAAAAATTAGCTGACCATATAATACAACTGAATTTAGTTGTATTAATTTACCTAATTTTTTATCCCTAGTTTTTAGCTCCCAAAGCTCAATTTCAGTTGTATTATGTTAACGACTAATTCTTTCTTTCCGCGCGTATGTTGCTTATTATGTTCACGTTGTTTCAATATATTTTATGTTCGGTCGGTATTCAACACGTTTAAATAACACATCTCAATGTCGATTAATTTATATTATGGATATTAATTTGTGTTAATTTTTGACATAATATTTGCATTACATTCCAACATATTCGTATTAAATTAACATAGAAAAATGGTGTGTTTGGGGAGCATGTGAAATGTGTTAAATATAATATTTTATTGCGCAGTCACTCACCAAGGTGGGTAGACGCCACGTGGCGACGCGCCGCCCGCTCTGATTTGCTCGTTTACGTAACCGCTCCTGGGCACATTGAGGGCACTCCTGATGCCCACGCTGGAGCCGTCCAAGGTTCCGGGCCCGGGTTTCGGCACATGGCTGCTGCAATATACCTCCTTGTCGTTGATGGTGTGCTGATTGTTGTAGTAGGTCTTCAGGGTGAGCTTAGTGCCGCAGATCGCGCATTTGAAGCAGCCCGCATGGAAAAACGTGAAGTCCTTCAAAGGGCCCACCCTGTCGACCTGGTAGACGGTCTGGGCGCACCTCAGACACGTGCTCTCGTAGAAGTTCGGTCGGTACATGGTGTTCGCCGCGCGAGAGAAAGATTACCTCGCCTCGTATGTCGTCGCTCTTCTCCACACCGGATCTTCCTCCGCTCCCGATCACCGCTCGCTATAGTCTCGCTCGGCGCAGCGTTTCGCTCTCGATGCGTGCGACCTTGGAAATTAAAGGCCTCGATCAGGGAATAGAGAAATTACCTCTCACCGGCTGGAATAAATAACGTCGGCGACGCGAGACCATGCATTTAGAGACGGCGTTTAGAGATCGGCGTGAGCTCAACTCGCGGGCGTAATAGCTGTTATTTTTTTCGGATCTGATCCTTCTTCACAGGAAAGTATCGTAAACAGATCTAGCGTTTAGTTAATTTCTAAATGCAGTTTCAAAGCGTAGTTTACAGTGGGTGAAGGCGAATTTACTGCCGCAAATTTTGACGTCGAAGAAACTAATATTTGGCTTTTTTAATTTTTTCTCCTTATTATCTCTTCACCGCCGTGAAACATGGGTAAAGAAAAGATTAGTTTTCCCATACGTGTGTCTCTCTTTGTTGCTTTGTGCTTGGGGCATGATTTTGCCTCCGCTCGTATCCGTTTCATAAACTCCCCCCTGACGCCGGATATGAATGCGCGCGAGTGACCGAGGTTGGGAATCGCATAGGAATTATATGTAACAATTAGTTGTAACCGTTAATTATGGAAGCAGGCTTCTCGACCGACGCAACACGTTTGTTTTACGCCCCAATTCGACGATGTAACGAGGCATTTTTCATTCCCGGAGAATCATCGTGCGCCTCGCTCATCGCGGCAGATTTCTAATTCTACCGATAATGATATCTCGTATTCGACGAACGCAACCTCGGAGAGGTTCTGAGAGAGAGAGAGAGAGAGAGAGAGAGAGTAGAGTGGTTTATTTACTCCTGGGGTCGGTAATCTTCTAGAGTTATAAGTAAGTAAAAAATACACGAAAATGTACGGAAAAAAATTCGTCTTATATAAATCAATGATAGACGTTCTTATATATAAACAAGAATATTACAATCTTCATAGAAGATTTTTAGTCTTGATTAGATTAAATTTATATTGGTGCGAGTGTTATTTGCACTCAATTTAAGATTAAAAATCTTCTAAGAATATTATTAGACTTATATATGAAAATATCTATTATTAATTTAAGACTATTTTTTCTGTGTGCTCAATTGCAAAATCTGCGAATTAATAAAAAAAAAAGCTACGTAATACTTCCTTAGATATAAAGATGCAAAGATTTGTACAAGTAGTAGCAGTGTAATTATAAGAGAATAAAATTAAATACGTTCAAATATTGAATTGCTTAGAAAATAAATGAACAGAGCCGATATAGATCACAAAGAGTGAACATATTTGTCCCTTAATAGAATAATATCTATAAAGCGAAGATATGGCATGTTATCTGAAAGAAACTTAATATAAAATTACAAAAAGTAGAACAAGTTAGAAATGATGAGTATAGTAAAATATCAAAAGTTGGAATAATTTGAAGCTAATAAATGGATGTCATGCCAGCCCCTAAACCTTCAAATTATATGGACTCGCAACTTAAATAGTCGTAGAAGAAGAACCTAAAAGAAGAGATCCTTGTTTTGCGACCAAGGAATAAAGCCTGTAATAAAGAGAAAGCAATATCCCTGAGCGATAATAATGAGTGAGTTTAAAGTTAAGCAATTGAAAATATTTATACAATATAAATAAAAATATTTATACAAGAGAGAGAAGATTAGTCTCTCATCCCGATCTGCGCTCACGAACCGCCGCCGACATTTTCTTGCGAAATACCTCGCGGAGTGGGCGACTAAAGAGGCGATTGCGACACTTGTAATGACCGCGATATGCCTATGGCAATATCGTCGGCGAGGTTTTCCCACGTATCGTTCAAGCGCGAGAGTACTTAATAGCATTTCTATCGTGATCCTCTAATACGATCGGTTAATATGCTCCTCCGCGCGCACGAATTATTCCCACCTCCTCCCTCTAGCCGTACATCGGTCCAAATAATTATATATCGTTAACCACGCGCGGTTAAATGCGAGTAGAAAGCCGTAAATGCAACGTAAACGTAAATTGCAGTGTCCCACGAAAGTGGAGATTTTCCGTTCGAACCAGTTTCGTAGAAATCGGCTTTTCTCAAAGATCGACGAGGGCTCCCAATCGTCGATCTTATTCGTGAGAGACCTATGGGGATACACTTTGTACCGTCGGTCGGAATTAGCTGAACGCACTACTTCTTGCATCTATCTGCGTCTGCAATGCTTTCTAAATTCTTATAATACCGTTAGTATTGCGGCCTACCGGCAACCAAATAAACGTCGCTTAACGTTGGAATTTCTCGACTTTCCCCTCACCGGTAAGAAGTGTCCCGAGCGAGCGTTCGAACAATCGACGGTAAACAGCGAGGTTTTTGAAAATCGCGACATCACGTTGCTGGTTCGTTCACGAGCTCGTTCGCGAGTTCCTCGTGTAACGGCGCACGTTCGGAACAATAGCACTTGCGACACGTTATTAGCAATGCATTCGTAGAGCACGACACGTGCCTGTTCTCTCGTTCTCCTTCTTCCCGCTCGGCGAATCAGGTATTTCGCGGCCGATCGACGAGGTCGTTCCCCTTTTTTGCTTTCGCGTGACACTTCGTTATACGAGTTTTTGCCGGACGGGCGGCAACCGACGCGGGTCGTAGGTGATCGCTTCGCGGACTGACGGACCGCGTCGTCGTCGTCGATGGAACGTATCAGAAAGTTCCTCTTCCGAAGAGCGAGCACGAAGAGGTGCACCGCTATATCGAGAGAAAGCATTTTGTACGTGCGTCGTCGCGCGTATCGCGGCCCTCGCATCGCGGGAGAGTATGAGCTAATTCTTTGTAAATGAGGCCACGGTGCGCACGATCTGTTCTCCGCGCGGGATAGTTCGTTAACCCGCGTTTGAATTTTCGCAGAGTCTACAGGCGCGTCGGGGAGCCACAGATGCTGAATGTATTTGTTAATAAGGTCGATGATTATTTAGACGCTCGATAATCGTAAGACTAGAAAAGACGGTGGAGAAGAAGCGAGTTTTATCAAACGTAAATTTTACGATGTAACTTTACCTTTCATCGGTCGGAATCATTTTCCTAAGAAAGACATCGGTCGCTTCCGCTCTTTTCGCGTATTTTATTACTTTTGCGTATTAAATTACACTTCTCTCTTTCTTTTCCATCTCTCCCTTCTCTCTCTCTCTCTCTCTCTCTCCTTATTATTCTATTTAATCTAATTATATTATTGAATTATATTACTCTCTTTATTATATTCTTTCTATTATATCAGGCATTTCGTCATATTAAACTGTACTTGGAAACTATATGCTCAAAGAGATATTTCCAGGGCTAAAATATACTTCTACTCTATTCTCTTTAGTGCTTTCTTATACTTTACATTTTATTTCTTATGTTATTTTATAACTTTATTATATATTGCATAGCTTGTGTCTCTGAGCGATCTACTGTATTTTTTCCTTTGCTTTCTTTTTTGCTATTCATTGTATAATTTTGGTTTAGTCACTTCACCCTTAGACGTAGATATTCTCATGTATTATTTTTGTTTCCTGGTATGTAGAGTTTTAACACAAGTTTTTAATTTCACAGGTATTAACTATCTATTAATAAATTAACTATCTATCTTTCAATTTTATTCTCTAATATTTAGTATTCTTTCAAATCTATCTCTAACGTTATATAAAATCTTTTTATTTATTATACACTCATATAGGTCTTTTTCATCTTTCATTGGATTATTTACTTGTAACATGATCTCTTACTTTTCCTTTTCGTATATTTTGTTATCTACTATTGTATATTTTTTGCTTTCCGACTTATGTACGGAAAACAAATTCTGCTGAATCAATAAAATTTGCAACAGTAGCGCGATTGGAATAAATCTTGATTCAGTGGTAAATATCATTAAAACTATTATGTTATATATTGTTTCAATAACTAAAGTATAATTTATTGTATTAGTTCAATTTAATAATTCAACGATATCGCCATTGAATCAAGAAGATCCATTCCAATCATGTATGCTATTCGAAATTTTATTGATTCAAGCATTTTCCCCGTGTATGAACATTTACTTATTAGTCTTTAAAGAGCATGTCCTAGGACTGAAATAAATGCTTCTCTCTCTCTCTCTCTCTTCGTTGTTCACGCTCGACGCGCGAACGGAGCCAGCCGTTACCGTCCGTGTCTAACTACGCTTCATCGGCGAGCTAATGTTTATACTTGCGGCCAGCACGCCGTGGATAATCGCGTCTACGTCGATCACCGCTGGCAATGAAACTAATAATGCGTAGTATTGATTATGACGCAACTACTGTGCCTGATACAACAATGTCTCGCGGCGAGTATTCGCGATATCGCGCAGGTGCGAGTCCTGTTATCCGCTAATGGAATGTGATAAATCGCCCCGTCGTTGTTCGGCCGGATGCACTTTTGATACGTCATCGAGAGCTATATTTTTTTCAATCGACGACAATTTCATAACGCGGAATGCCGTTCCCGATTAGTGCGTACTCGCCCGGTCGAGTGCACCCGCGCGCACGCGCGTTGTAACGGAAACCCTCAACACGTCTCATTAAACTGAGCACGCGCGCGACCGGCAAAGCGCGGAAATCGTAAAAACCTCGTAAATTTCACCGTCGCGAGCGACTTTTGCGTAAGCGGCCGCGGATGTCGACACCCCGAGAGCGGGACTATGATGAGAAATGAGGTAGACGTGTGGCGCCATTGAGAAAATTGACGAAGACTTTTAATCCGAGGGAATAGCCACCTTATTTTTTTTCTCACGTAAACGAACCCTCGATGTGCTTATTCCGTTTCTTAAATATTTTTTTCTCGTTTCTTCATTTTCTCAAGAAGTAGCGAACAAATCTATATTTACGAGTATAACGTTCCTAAATAATAATAAATCATAGAGCGATCTTTTGTTAATATTGACAACCTTTAATCGGGGTCTAAATGATCCCAGCTGACTATTCCCGGGTTAAACGGAACTCCTCCAAGTTTTTGGTAGAGAGACCCGAATTTGAGTTTCGTTGCATCCTCCGCTCCTGACGACGAGTGAGTCTCCGTGGAATGCGATCGGAGCGGCGCGATTATGGCGAATTACATAACTCCGGGGCTCCGCCGGACATTGCTTGTGTGCGCGCACGTATATGTCGACGGTCGCGTAATGGTGCGTTGCTCCCTTATGTTCTTCCGGTGATTCGGCCGGCAGAGCGACGCGTCATTTATCGCGCCACTCGTTGCAAAAAGCCCGGCGATGCGTAATCGCACTTACGCGCTCCAGGCGAGCCGTGAAGAGGCCCTTCGCGCGCCGATAAGTCCGTCTCGGTGCAATGAGCCAATTCGAGCAGACGGATGCGAGGAGGAAGGAAGCGGTTTTCGGAAAGTAAGGTGGAAACGAGACGCGTCGGAGCCTCGTCGGCGTGTCAGGCGCACATGAAAATTATTTACGGCATTCTTCGCGTCGTTCATCGCGCGATAATGCCCATTCGAATGCCCGGTGTCCCCATTTCGGCCCGCCTTCTTCTAGGTATTCATGTCCGCCGCCGCTACACGCGCGGTCCCGCCCGTGTCACGCATGCCGCGAGAAACTTTATTATGAAGTAAATCGCGGAGAATGCGGCCGCGCAAGATTCGGACGGACATCTCCCGGCGACGTATCGCGAAAACAATGGGTTAACGGGAGTTCGGGCGAGCGAGACGGGAAAAATTACGCGACTCTCGCAACGTCGTTGATTCCGCGATAATCCCCGGGTCGAATTATTACCATCTTTTTATATTCGTCGCAATATTTTTCACCTATGAATGGTCGCGATATATCTTACAGATTTTCCCACTATTTTTCTCTGCTTCTTGAGACAATTTTTCTTTTGTTAGCTATTTGGCACTAAAGTATATAAAAAATAGTGTAGAACAAAGAGAACACACTTGGTCTGTTCTTTTTAACTGAATTGGCTGCACTGGTTCAAGAAATTTGCACACACATTAAAACGTTTGAAACGTGTGTACAAGATTCTCACGTTTCAGTATGTATATAAATTTCTTCAATCAGTGCAACCAATTCAATTCAAAAGAACAGATCAATTGATAAGGACGAGTTCGAGGCAACGGCGATAGTAATGTCGCGCGGCGTGATAGTCTAAATATATTTATTGACTAACGAAGAGTTAAAAAGATCGCGACATGTCGAGACGAGTGCAGTGATACCGCGCATTACGTGGTGCGAAGGAATGCGGTACGAAAGTAACTTCCGCGAATCTATTTTTAGAGAAAAGGGAAACGACGTCACGCCAAGTGACGTAACCGACGTAAGGATGCCAAACGATGCGCGTATTACCATCATCATCGTCGTGTCTCGAGATATTACGAATTGCTCTTAGTGAACTGTCTATTAACTAATGAGGCAAAGAATCCGTTAAAGTAGGTAACCCTTGACCGACGTCAGCGAAGCTATTAACTGTACTTTCGATCGAGACGTGTCGAACCTTGGCCTTTTAATTGTTCGTCCGGCAAAATTAACGCGACCGACGACGGATACATTTCGATGTCGAGGCTTCGTATAGGCACGAACACATAGCGCGAATGAACCGCCCATTGACGGTTCATACACGTGTCCTAATTCCGGTCCCGCGAATTCTCACGGGCCGACAGGTTTCGCAAGGCCAGACGATGAGCCTCAGAGCTCCTCTCTTTCTCGTTAGACAATTCCCCCAGTCATTCGTGAAAGCCCGTTCACGGCTCTCCTAATTCGCGTGACTCAACCGAGTCGTCGAGGAGAGGCCGCCACGGACAGTCAGCGCAGAATTCGATACAGCAGCGCGAGGAAACGTGCGATAAACCATACTGACCACAAATCGCTTCGTTAACTACAAGGCCCGTCCGCACACTCATCTGAAATTTCACCGCTCGAAACCGCAGAAAGCCGCGCGAGACGCCGAAAGTGGAGCGGCGTCGAGCCGCTCCTGCGAGCGATCGCGTAGGATACGTACGTCCTCATAATCCTCGCTCCGGCGTCGTCCGCGAGCGGAGGACCCGATGACTGGTTCCGTCGTGGCTGCCGGGCATGTTTCTCTCTCTCTCTCTCGACTCGTTCTGATTCGCTCGAATTCCTCGCGGAAACGCCAGCTGGGCCGACGGAAAAGGAGAATCCGCAGGTTGCGATGGCGCCCGTCCGCGGTATCCTCACACGGTTCTCTCGGTCTTCCGGTGATTTCTGCACCGCGCATCGAAATCACCAGCGCGAACGCCTCGCTCCGTTTTGCGAGCAGCGTGCGCGCTCGCTCGCGTGTCGCGATTGACGAGCGACGTGAGGAACGCGAAAAGGGAGCGCGGATTCCACCTGCTTCCGAGCGATCGTCGTCACCTCGCTATCGATCGCTCGGAACGGATCGCGCGCGACTAACACCGCCTCGGCCGCTGGATATACGTCGCGTATCCTCGCGACTATTCCGCCGGCTGCTCCACCGGATTTATGCACGACGCCACTTTCGACCTTCCAGTCGGCGCGCACGAACGTCTCTGACACGCTTTCGGCTGTCCGCCACCTGGAATGAGGTCTCGGCGATTCGGATCGAATATCGCCACCTGCCTCCGACGACGTTCCGGGAAGGTCTGAAGTGAGAGGAACGGCCATTTTGAGGCACCGCCGATGGATCGCGCAGGTGGCGCTACGCCTGGAGAACCGATGTGTCCTACCTGCTCGTAACGGTCACTCTCTCGTGCGCGCTCACCTGGCGAGGACCCGTCGAAGGCGCGCCGAGCTGTGCCCCGGGACCGAGCTGCTCGAGAGATGAATAGCTCTTTTTCTTTTTCAACATGTTCGATTTTTCTCGGCTTTCCGTTCACGCCGTTTAGGTCGCCGGTGCTCCATGTGATTGCTGCAATATTACTTGCATGATATCTCGACACATGCTTGTATTTTATGATAGTTTATATTTAAAAACGGAAAGCGTGAGACGTGTGCGACCTACACGTGTGAACGTGTTAATGAACCGGTAATCAGTTTTGCGCGCAGAGAAAAGAAAATGCTACGTCCAAGTAAATATTTGCTAAGAAGTATTAGAGCTTTACTTGGATTGAGTGAATCACCGAGTCTACTTTAGTTCTATATTAAGTCTTCTTCTATTGTGCTTCTATGATGTTGGAAGTTATCTTCATTTTCTCTACTTGAACTGACTTAATGTAGAATTTCCCGGGAGATCTGAATTCCTTTTGTAGCATCAAAGGAGCACTATGTTGGTGTCCTTTTAGTGCTAAAAATGGGAAGTTACTTCCGTTTTCTCCACTTGAAGACTTAATGTAAGAATATATTTCAATTCGAGTGTATTACTCGATTAATTTATGTTGAAAGTTGAAATATTCACACTTAAAGATAGATTCTTCGTCCGGGCATTTTACCTGAATATTTACTTAATCCAAGTAAAATAATTATTACAATATTCCTTAGAAAATATTTACTTGAACGTAGCATTTTTTTTTCAGTGAAAGCGACTCATCGATCGAATTCGCATCGAAGGGGAATTCAACGATTGCGAAAAACTGCTGCTTCCGATTTAACGCAAAGTCCAAATAAATGCGCTGAGTTTGCAAAAAACGGGCGATCAAACGCGATTCGGTTGAAGGAAGCAAAATTTCTGGTTGTAAAAACTAAATTTGCTCGCGACCAAACTGGTTTCTCAGCGCGGATAGTGAAACAACTGCCATTGCGCGTGTGATGCGTACACATGTACAGATGGTCAAAGAGTACAATGCTAAGGAAAGTAAACTACGGGAAACTCTTGAAGCGATCGATGATGAATTAAGATGCTCTCGAAAGCCTAACGATATCTCCATCCTTAATCCGCTTGACGCGAAATCGCTTCGCAATTATGCCATAATGGCTTCGTGTAATGACACAGCACGCTGGCCCGACGTTGATATAGATACGTGGATACAAGGACGTGTTACGACATGCGCGGTTAATGGAGTCGGTAACAAAGTTCAACGCGGAGTGAACCGGACGACCACCGCTCTCGCGAAGATCTCCAAAGGTCTCACTGTTTTATATCGGACGCGCGTTAAGTGTATTTTTTCGAATCGCTTGCTTCCTCCGGGACGCCATTTCTAGGCAGAAAGTACAAGATCGGCGCGCAAAAGCGCGCCTACGCGCGAATCGTGGGAAGCGATTTGCATGCGATGACGCAATGAAGGCAGCGACAAATTATACATTATCCGAAGTGTTACCGGAGATTCTTACGCTCTATTTCGCCGTGACGTTTCGATACGCTGAGATCATTTTTCCATGTCTCGGGGGATAATGAGCATCGGACATTGCGAACGCTAGTTAAACTATGTGCGCGTTCTAATATGCTTTATTAATGGACTTCCATTACTCGTTAAATAAACGAAAATATAGTAATAAGTAGTAGTTTGTAATAACCAAAATACGGAACATCTCGACATGCGAACGTGTATCGATCTGAAAACAGCCTGGAGCAGTTTAATTTAATTATATATAGTAAATAGGATTTTGTACACATTGAGAAATGTATATGCGTTTAAAGCTGAATACTTTGTAGTAATAAATAAAGGGTTTATAGTTCTGTGTTTTTTAATTACACTAGCGTGTAATATAATGTGTTAAAATATATATTTATGTTAGAAATGATTGAAGTATCAAATCGGAGGTCAGGTTTTAGATAAAATTTGAAAAAAAATCGACAAGAACTATATAAACACAAATTTACTTTAAACACAAAACATAAAACTTTCGAAAATAACGAAAAATAATATTTGAAGTAACACATTGCTCAAGGGAGATCTGCGTAACGCTTAAGGTTGCAAAATAAATTGTACTCTCATAAGAACAAAATAATACGATAACAAATAATAATATAAAATAGTATATTACATAGCTGCGCAAAACTTCATTTTAACTAATTACACGTCACTTGGGTTTACTTAGTCACGATGGAGATTATTCAGAGAAAATTTCGAGATGCTCGAAAATTTATTCAATTGCTCTCAAATCATATATTTCTTTTCGTTAACCGTAATATTTTTCCGATTTTAATGAAAACCGGAAACTAGTATCTATTTTTAAAAGAAACATTTTGCGAACTTTTTCTCACATCGTTTCTCTCGTAATAAATATGTAAATGAAGGCTTAATAACGTTGAATAAACTGCCCTTCATTGCACTAAGAAAAATATCCGATCATATCTGATAAAATAGTCCAATTGGAAAATAACAAACAGATATATCCGATCAAGTGAACGTCCGATTATTTTCGTCATTTCATCCGATTAAGTCAGGTCCGATAAAAATTACAACGGATAAGGGGGATTAATTTTCCGATTAGGTTTTATCGGTAACTTCATCGGATACTTCATCGAATAAAAGTATATATCACTTGATCGGACGATAAAAATAACAATCGGACACGTCATTTAATTGGATGGAAATTTTTCTCCAAAAGTGTGCTCCCCTGTTTCGCCCTTTAAGTATCCGATTATGAAGGGAACCGAATGAAAAGAAAAAGGCCATTGTTGTCGACCAAAGAGAGATGTAGCTGGTTTTCTCTAACGTCTCGAGACACGCGCTCGCTCGCTCACACACGCGGCATCGCGATATATTTACGCGAACGGGGAGACTCCGACGAAACGATGGCAGCGGTCCAGCAGTCGCGTTACGGAAATAGATTTCGGTGTCGGCGGCGGGTATACGATGCAACGGCCGGTCGAGGAGCTAGCGAGCGAACGCCGCTGAAAAGCAGCCGGAGAGGCGACGGTGGCCAGTACCGTGTCGACCAGTTCCCGAGGAAAACCGGAAGAGTCACCCCGGCGAGGTCCCACATGAGCGTGAGTGCGATATGCCGTCCCACGAGTGCAACCCCCGGTGCATCTTCCGTCTCGGCTAAAGAGATACGTGAGAGAGCACACATAAGCCCGGCTATTTGCGGTCGTTCGCGCGCCGGGAGGTAACGGGTTCTATTCCGTCAGCGCCATTTGTTCTCCACCTCGGGCCTGCGTTGCTGAAGAGGTTGCTCGCGATAACCGCGATTTTCCGTCTGAATCGCGTCGACGAGCAGCCTTGCCCGGTAACGAGAATCGACCTAGTGGCGATCGAGCCGGGCGATGGTGTAATTCGAAGCCCTCTTGAATTTTCTCCGGCGTGACCGCCCGATGACTCGTCATCTCGGACGCGAATCCGTTTCTCCGATGAAATTGATCGCCGATGAATCCGGCCGTGATTCTCAAGGCGATCCCTCCGAATTCGGTTTCGTTTCAATACGCGAATCCGACGGTCTCTCGGCGCGCGCGAACGAATTTCTCGATACATAATTAGACGACTGGAGGACAAAGAACAGACTAGACTTGAAATATAAATAGAAGAGAGATCGTTTCAACGGGTGCATCGGAGATCCCAGTGCTTCGTCGAGAGCGGCGATATTCATTCAGCTGGTGAATCGCGAGATGATCGTTGCGCGCGAATTGTCTAAATCGGAGCTCTCGTGGTGCATCGACTCCTAGTGCGCGAATATCGGGACGTGTGTTTCGGTCGTTCCGTCCGTGGAACAGAATGCGGGTTGCAACATCGAGACGTTCAAGTGAGACACGTTCCGCGCGTTTCTCCGCGCTTACATGATGACACACGAGAACGAGTCCGCTCACTCGAGACGCGCGTCTCGCCAATAAGTGATGTCGCACGGAGAACAACGTGATCGGAGTGACTGTTGTTTATTAGAACGTGCAATGGCTGCGTTTGGCAAAAAAAGAAGTGAGAGCTCAGTGATCGTAAAAAATTTTCTGTAAATAATGGTCCGCTGAAATTTTTGTTACTTAAATGAGATGAAAAAGTAATATGCTAACAAGGTGTGAATATGTTAATGTAACATATATTTGTGTACTTTTTAACATATTCTCATGTTAAAGTAACACAAGTAATTTCAGTTATTTACACATTTATTATATACTGTTTGTTGATTACAGGAGGAAGAAAAATATAGTTATTTTCGGGGACAACAATGTCCTTTTTTTATTTTAACCACAAAAATATAATAGTAGCAAAAACAGTAGTAACTCTAGTAATATTTATTAGGAAAATAGTTCTTTTCTATTTTTATAGTTAAAATGAAAAAAGGATATTGTTGTCCACGGAAATAACTATATTTTTCTCTCAACGTGGAGTACTCTTTTAGATTCTTAATCAGTCCAGAAGAATATACTAATCAAGAGTGGTAATCATTCACTGAGCTACTTTTTCTGCTGAATACAAGCAATATCTATATTCCTCATCACTTTGCATTCGTCGGCCCCGCGATGTCGCGTTTCCCGACGCAGTCCGCCTATGCGGGTACCAGCGACTGATGGACATCACATAACGCGAGATAAAGGGAAATTCGTTTCTTACACCGATACATGTGAGAGTTACCAGCTCGTGGATTAACGTGTATTCGCGTTATCTCCCGCCTGTAAACTCGTAACTCCGGCTATGACATTTGCTTCCGGTTGAAAACCCCTCGTCTTTATTGCGCATCGGGCATATACCAACTATCGCTTGCTTATATTGAAACTGCGCGAAGTAAAAGCATAACGGTGACGAGCGGATTCTTCAATTCGCCCCGTTATCTGATATAAATCAATTCCGAGCGCTAATAAAACGCTCTATCTGAACGTGAAAGAAATTCGCGGACAGAAATTCTCGCGGATAAACTAGAAGTTGGACAATCTCCAAGTCGCGCGGGCGTACTCAACGAGAAATAGTTCCGCGACGTACGAGCCCGGTTTATACTCGTTGTAGTTTTTTTTCTCTTTCTACCTGATCTTGTCACACTTTGGGGCAACATTGCGAGCGGGCAGGAAGCGATAACCACAAGGAAAATAATTAATTTGCATCATGCGAGGGATCCATCGTTTTTCCGTTAGATTCCAGCTTGTAGAAAGTTGCCGATCTGTATACGATTCTCCCGCCACTCGAAACAGGAACAAAAGAAGGGCGGAGAAGGGCACACGTTCTAAAGATACGAACCTGACTCTAATTCGAGAATCTAATTCGCTTCCCGCAGCGTGATCGCGTTTCACTCTGTGTTCCTCTTTTTTTTTTGCTCGAATGACGCCAATTAATAACGTCCCACTTGACAAGTTCGCACGATGCATCGAGAGGAAGTGCAAACACGAAGAAATAGAACTTATCGCGAACGGGTGTCAAACCGAGACAATATTCTTGAAGTTTCTTTGTGTATTTAAGTCGTCCGTCGCTAATAACCCACGCCGCGAGTGATCACATTCTATCCGATGAAATATTTCGCGCAAAATCACAGATTTAAATCCGCCTCGTTCGATATTACTTCACGTGAGACATCCGCGACGTCGGCGCGTCACCCACGCCGTGGAAAAATAGTGTCGCGGCTCTGCTTTATTTCTAGAACGCGGAACAGTCTTTTTCCCCGGACGCAGAAATAGAGCCGGCCGCAACTTCCGGTACAGATCGCTCTGACGTCGCTGATGGCCACGGAGATGCATACCCGAGAAAAAACGGCGTTTGTGCCGAAACGATTCCTCGGGCTGTGCTCGTAAGCCATCCCAAGGTGCGACGACATCGATTCACACTTGGCACCGTTATGACGGTAGAACGTTGCCAAAGTTCCTCGGGATCGTTCTAGGCTTGGGGATTTAGCTTGGCGTTGCGTTGACTCTATTGTTTTTGCGCTGCGCGACAATTCAATCTACCTTGCAATTATTTTTTATTATATTTTGATAAAAAAATAATAATATTTATTTACGCGAAAACATCCTTTGGTTACAAAAATAGGCCTAATACTTATAGAATATAAAAAAATGAGCACTCAATAATCGTTACATTCAATGTTAAATTATAAATTAGTAGTAAAGTTAGTAAGTAAATTAGTAAATGCAAGCCATATATACGAAAAGGGAGAAGGAAGAAAAAAAATATATATATATATATGATTTGAATCAATTGATGAATTAATGGGTTAAACTAAAAATGATAGTAAGTGAATTTTTAAAGCCTGAAGAGCTGTTTCTCTGAAAAAATCCACCTCAGATTTTATTTCACTTATAATTATTTATAGTTTATACTGTCATACTTTCATATCTTTTACAATATTTCCTGAACTTTTTACTTCTTAAATTTCTTAAATTCTTCATTCTATGCAAAAGATTGGATTGTATCTGTATGGAGAGAATTTATTTTTACGCAATTTCCATTTTAGATAAGTAAGCTGTCGATGAAAATTATTTATGTTTCGTTACATATGTAAATATCATTGCCACGATGTGACTTGGCAATATCGCCCGTTGAAGCAGCACCGGCGGAGAGAGATCTTGAATAACAAATGTGACAAAGATGCACCGATACCACTTTCATTCGGAATGAAGAAATTCATCAAGAAAATTATTGTTCTTTTATAGAATTCGGGAGCTGAGAAATGGCGACCGATGGCCATATCGAATCCGTCCACCAAGCTACGGATGGCGAGGTCGATGCCCCACTGGGTGATGGTACGTCTTCCTCCATGTTTGACCTCACAATAGGTCATATTCCTTATCTATCTATCACCACCAATCCTGTCCATGATTGTATCTCTTCTCCATTTCGTCACGGAATACAATAAGGATAACCGATAGATCCACGATAGATAATTCTCTTCCGTAATTCACCTTCGCTTAATTCCGCAACAGACAAACTGATTCGCATTACGATACGTATGCATCTCATTTAAAGAAATTAATCGGCAAAATGTACAAAAACTTGTCGTACGAAAGGCTCAACAACAACAGCGGGAAATGGAGCAGCATCAACGCCGGCCGCCGACGCCTCCGAAGGCCCCGCCGCCGTCGCTCTCCGGGGACTGTGGTGACCCCGACTACGAGATCATCGAGTTTCCGACCCGACCGCAAGCCCAGAGATCCTCTACGACAACGACGACGACGATGATGCAGCCGTACGTGGGTAAGTGCGCCCTGTGCGGCACCGAGAACGTGTTCGCGCGCTGCGACACGTGCAACGAGAACTACTGCGAAGCCTGCGACGACATGAACCACAAGCACCCGAAGCGGAAGCACCATGTCCGACGGAGAATCCTGACGGACAACGCAAGCAGAAGCAGGCCGCCGTTACCGCCGAAGGGCGAGAACCTATTGAACCCGCCGGTGCCGCCGCCGCGAAGAAATCGCAAGACCACTCAGGTAGGCTGCGTCCTGGCCTAAAAAACTTCCGACTGCCCGTCGTCGATCTTCTTCCAGGCACCGCTCGTCGTTCTTTCAAAAGTCCTCGATGTTCCCCAGCGGTAACCCTCCCTTTCTCCCTCGCCGAGGATCGTTTTTCCGGGTCACTCGACGGAGATCAGGCTGGCAGTCGCTTGCGGCGTCCAAGTTTTTTCTATTTGCGATCGGCGATGACGGATGGCGCTGCTCGCGACTCAGGATGTCTCGGAGTGTTCGTCCCGTCGCTGACCTCGTCTCCGTCGAGTCGCTCTCGCCCCACGAGTCTCCACTACGTTGATGGTTAAGAGATTGTGAACGGCATATAGAGCTTTACCTCGAAACGTCACACCGAGGCAACGTTCCCAAGAGAGCGTTCTCGTCACACCACTGCCCTTATTGCTTAGAGCTTTCGTTGACATTGTTCTAAGATTCTCAGATTCTATTTTTTGCGCTCGCATATCTTATTGTACATATTGTTGTCGTTGTTTTTTTGTAATACACCATGTTACCGCAAAACACTGATGCCGTATTCACTAAACCCGTTCTCACATCCAGTCTCGACGCGATAGTCGCGGTAACGACGACGGCAGATCGGCCGTCGTCGTCGTCGTCGTCGTCACTGCCGACGTTGATGCCGGGCGTTTGTCGCACGATCGCGTTATCGCGGATTCACGTGGAGTGGTGAATATGGCAGGTTACGGTGAACACGGTGAACATGATGATCCTTCTCGCGCGTCAATCATGATACCTCATCGACGACGACGACGCCGCACTCTCTCTCTTTCTTTCTCTGTACCGTTACCAGACACTATCTCGACTTATTTTCACACTCGGTGCATCGCACTTCTTTTCAGCATACACACGCATTAGACGGGCTATCATCCAGCTGCTTTCACACCTACCACGCTCATGAAACAACAAACAATCTGATGGCGTGTTATTTGCGAGATTTTTTATTTGTAAAATATTGTCTTTTCTTCTTATTCTTGTTCTGCATACTTCGCACACCGATGACTGGACGAACCTGTTCTCACATACTTATCAGTCTGTTTGATTATTCCTCAGGTCGATGTTATTTCCTTTTTTTTTTGCAAGAATTTGTTTCTAGAGGCGCTTTATCGTCCGACATGTCGATTCCACCTGACCTTGTTTCTCGTTGATAATACCGATACCGACGCAGTCTCGCGCGAACGAACCACCATCTACGGTCCTCGACGACACTCCGAGCGCTGTTCCTCCATCCACGATATGCAATTAAGTCAAGCTTTCGCGCTTAGGCTAAATCGGCGCTAGCCAAAGGATCCGCGCAACTACCTTTGCTCGATAAGGTCGGCAGCTTGAAACGCAACTTCTCCAACGCGAAGCCGTTCTCCACGGCGCCAGACTCGAGAGTGTCCAAGTCCACGAATATCTTAAACACGTCTTCCACAGACGCCATAGGATCAGGGACGGACAAGATGTCCACTCTGCAGGTGAGAAATGACGTTAAGTATAAAAAATACCAACGTCCTTTAATGAACGTTCTTTAATCGAGTCTGAAAGATTTCGAAAATTTCAAGATATTATGTATTTATTTATTTATGGATAAAAAAAGTGTACGAGTATCTCTAAAGAATATTTTTCCGGCTCACTTTGTATATATTTTATCAAAGGACATCGCAGGATGAGAAATCGAATTGTTCGTCTACTGAATGATGCCGCGCAGCAATTATTCGCAATATCCAGATTATGCCCGCGATAATCTCGCAATATTCATGGCATTCGAATGACAAATTTTTAGGAGAGATACAGAAAATACCAGGAGGCGATGAGGGCGCAGGACGCGAGCAGGCGACGACATCCGTCGTCCGACACCTCGAGAGACACCTTGGGCGGGAGACCGCTCAACGTAGGCAGCCCGGCACCGCCGCTTCCACCTCCGCCGCCACCCAGAGCTATGATACAATCAGCCAGTGTCTGCGACCTGTCGGCCGCTCACATGTGGAACCCTGGAATGCACCAGGTACTCCTTCGCGGCACTTCAACCTTAATTTCATCCTTCCATATTACCAGTATTTATCAATTTAATTTCTACGATATTAGGAGTCATTCAACAATTACATTATAATACGAAAGGGAAGGGGGGTCTGTTAGCTTGCGATGACAGGAAGGGAGAGGCCACGAAACGTCACATTAGATGGCATAACTTGTAAATATAAACGCACGTGGTTTTATTCGTAACGCATTTGGTTACATGTGGTGAACATTTCTTAATTTTGATACGGTTTAATAATCAAAATGCTGATTTTTAAATATTTAATTTCTTTTTAATACAACTTTCCACTAATCAAAATTATAAAATAAAGTAATTAATTTGACATTATATGACTGAAAGTTGTTTGTATTTTAGAAAGAAATAATAACGTCTAATCTAATCATTATTACCCACAATATGTGTGATTACAAGCTAGATTTTTTATTCTGTGTGTCAGCGGGTGGAGGTAACTCTACATGTCATGTAATATTGGAAGAAGGCACAAAAGGCACTTTGTGACGAAATTGTGAGGAAGAGGAGTAAAAAATAAAAATTTAACGTGACGTAATTGTTGAATAACTCCTTATCGGCTTTTGATTATTTTAATTTTGTTCCATTATTAGTTTTATCATCATTATTGGTTTCACCACTATGGTCTTTCAATTTACGATGCAATAAAAGTAACGAAATTAAATAAGGAAAGAAATAGATTAAGAACAAAGTGACAAAAATGCTTCAGGCTCAATCGATAGCGCACTTAGGGCCCGGAGGTATACCGATGTGGTGCCCGCCGATGAACTCCTGGGACATGTCGATGAGAGGTTCCACCTTGAGTCTGCATCATCCGAACATGTGGGGTTACCCTATTGGCTATCCGCCGGCGCAGATGCTGCCAACGCATTATCCAGGATCTCTTTCGCGACCGCATAGCCCGGTCAGAAGCGTAAAGTCCAGCCGAAGGTCGAAAGCAGCGTCTCCATCTCCCAGTCTCAAGTCCCGAAAATCCTTCGTCTCACGATCACGGTCAAGAATTTCGCCGGGTTCGCCGTCGGACGCGAGCTCGGAGGACTCCGGCGAGTCCGATTTTGACGACAGACTCTCGCGAGGATCCAGACGCGGCAGCGTATCCAGAAGCATACGACAGCGAAGCTACCACGACGATGATGGCACGAGGAGTCTCTTATCTAGAAATCGGCGAGAGTAAGTGAACACGTAGAATAGAATAGAATCAACTTTATCATAACCTGGGAGAACTTCTGTGAGAGCAACAATTATAATATATGATAGAGATAAGGATACAGACAATCGTCGCAAAGAAACATACGGAAATGGAAGGAAAACAATACGAGAACAATAGAAGGATAACAGAATTTTTATCACGACGCATTCGAGATATATATTTAGGAAATATTGCACGGGAGAGAAATTTTTCGCAGAATTGTTTTTGTTATTATAGTAACATCAAAAAAGTTTGTTACGAAGAAACAATAATCTTGCTGTTGTAGCAAAACGTCGTTGCCACAGCAATAAAATTTAGCTGGTATAATTAGCAATTAATACTTTTAACAAATCTTTTTGCTGTTATTATAGTAACAAGTAATTTTCAGTGCCAGCAAACAATTTTTCTCCGTGAAATATCAAATTGTTATTTTAAGAATTGTAACGTAATCGAGGCTAATAATGAAGGCGGAAGAAACATCTTGTACAATTTTACCTGTATAATAATATTTGTACGAACCGTTATTATTCTTCAAGAGCACTCGATTTTCTCATAAAGCCCGAGATATAAAAGTAATTCAATCCTTAAAATATAATATCTCATTTGTGACATTTAATATTTTACATGTATATTTAACGTAATTTAATATTTTTGTTGAATTTCGTTAATAGACGAATAAACGAGTGAATTTTAAGAAAATCGTGGCACTTCGTCGGTGCTTCAACTCGCGCGCTCGCGTATCTCGTTGCGTAAATCGCGCTTACCCGTGCCGTACGGTCGATCTTTCAGAAGACTGGTGTCCGAGGAGAGACTGACGAGCGCCGAAGATCAATGGTCCGAGAGTGCGTCCGGCAGACGATACCCGACGTCGTCGCGCAACCATGACGAGCTCAATAAGAACAACAACACTGTTGCCTCCGGACGGCGGTACAGTTACGAGGACCGCTCGGCTCCCAAGGCGGATCCTCGACTGGATCACGTTCCGTGCGTGACTTATCGCGACCGCCGAAGACGCAGCACCGACGAGGAATCATCCGATCGGAAGGTAAACGCGCTCGGACGAGCGCGGCTGCCGAGCTCGCCCGACGATCGTTTCGAGAGAATGGAGAACGCCTCGAAGAGAGCGTCGTCTCTCCGGAGGGACGTAGCACTGGAGGATCTGGAGCGACCCTCCGCCCGTCACGACTCCCGCAGATCGTCCTTCGACAGCGACCCTCAGACTGGGAAAACGTCCTCGCGAGACGTGACTTCCCCGAAGAGAATGCCTGCGGAGCGAGCGCGTCTTTTGGGGGCACAGTCTCCCCAGAGAGGACTGATTAGAGACGAGAAAAAGGACGAGATTGAGTCACGCTTGGTCAAGAGGGAACAGCACGATGTCTCGCGTGACCGCGAGGTCTTCGCCAGTAGAATTTCATCCCAACGAAGGGACGACGACCTGGACAGGACCTCCGCTAAGCGGTCCTTCTTCGAGTCCGACAATCAGAGGAAAACACCGAAGGAGACGCCGACGGGAAAACAAAGGGACGAGCAACGGGATTCACTCAGGACCACCGGCGATCTTCAAGTTGTAGAGCGTCAACGTTCAATCGAGAAGGATCAACGAGCCCGGGACTCGAACGGAATCGTCAACGCTCAGCAGAAGCGACAAGACGATGCTGATATCAGGCGACGGGAAATGAGGAGATCTCAGTCCCAAGAGGACGCGAAAGTTACGAAGACGACAACGGGCGCGATTGAGAGCGCGTCGTCGAGGAGAATTCCTGCGAACGAGCTGGCGAATCCGATGGAGATACCGAAGGAGGAGTGGGCTTGCGAACACTGCACCTTCATCAACAAGATCAACGATCGCGTCTGCGTGGTATGCTGTAAAACGAAGAGCAGCGCGTTGCCGCCGAGCAAGCTGGACGATCTCGTGGTAGCCGCCGAGCCCGTTGTACCTCAAACGCGAGCCAAAAGTACCGAATCGAGCGGCGTCGGCGATCCCGCTCCCGATCTTGAGAAAAGGACCAAACTGCTGAAGATCTCGAACAGCGAGGGAAGCGGCGACAGCGGATCCGTCAAGAACAAAGGTAGACCGAGGCGCAAAATCAGCTTTTCCTTCGGTACCAAGTTGCCCAAGTGACCGGGTCACCCGTCGTGTGTCGTGTTCCCGGCGCGATCTGTGTGATTCGCGCACCCCGTCCGCCTGTTTCCGTCCCGAAATGCGACCAGCTCGGATTATTTGTTCGTACATCTTTTTTTTGGGTCTCTCTCCCTCTCTCTCTCCCTCCCTCTCTCTCTTTCTGTTTTCTTTTTTTCTTTTTGTTCTCGTTCTTTGTCTCCTGTCTCTTCTTTTTTTATTACGTGTTTTCAAAGCGGCGAGCCGCGCAGAAATGATGGTTGTTCTGCTTCCTTTCGATGTATTGGATCTTGGATGAATAATAAAGAGACCACGAGGAAAACTGTTTCGTACACGCCCAAACAACGACACCAAATGCATAGTCGTATTTGAAATTCGGCCATCTTCTGCGTGCGTCCGCGAGCCACTATATTATTCATTCAAGAAGCGGCGGTTTCAAGCACGAGCGTGCATTTGGCGCGTGTTCCTTTATTCCGCGGCCAGCCATCGATGACCGAGATCAACGGTTGGACAGTCCGGAAAATATTAAAACGCGTCTACGGCGGGAGATTGCTGCGTAATCGAAAATGTCGCGCAAGTGGTTAATGAAATTCATGATGATATTTGTTCTTTTCACGAACGAACTGCCGATCGAGATCTGTTCACGAATTATTAATTTCGTCACATCCCGTTGTTAACGCACGTTAAAGTTATGAGTATTTGTGCTCGCGATAATTATCAGTAGTATGGCGCGAGCATCTTCCATTTTTATTTCTTTCGTTTTCAAAAGCGAGGGTATCGTAAATGTACGCTCGTAGATGACCTTGAAAATGATAATATAAATATATCAAGACTCTTTCTCACAAACTTTTCTGCGTGATAATCGCTCAAGTTGTCACTTATAAAAAGATTGTAGTCTTCCCGAATGAAATAATTTGTCAATCGAATTATTGGTTTATTTATCTACTTACTTATCCACGGGGTAGTTTTTTACACAATTAAAAAAAGAATTATAGGAAAAATTTGTGATTTGCAGACACACTTGTTCCAGACGATGATCCTTCCGTAGAAAACATGAAAAGCACAGTCGAAGCCACCACAGCTATGCAGACAGATGATATTTCGACATTACCGGTCGTTGAGGATTCATTGTCGGAAACACCATCCTCGAAACTGGTGTGTTCTGCAAATGCCAGTACCTCGAAGATGGATGTCAACGAAATGCTGTATCGGGAAAATGTTCGAGGGCAATTTGTCAAGAGTCATTCTATATCTACGGGGACGTCCCCACCGCCACAGAGTATCTCGACGCAAGTAAGAGAATAAGACAATAATTTACAATCAGAAAATGTTCCATGAATAAAAATACTTGATACGCTGATTAATTGGCAAAAATTAAATATGTTAAAAGAAAAATTATATTAAAGGGAGTAAAATATTCCTTTTATTTTTATTATATATTTTATTAATGGAAGGTTATCTCTTTGATGTATAATGTTGAAAAATAAGAGATGCAAAAGCAAAAAAAATATACAAATGTATTAATCACGAGAACGCAAAGAAGAAAAATATTCATGAGAACACAAAAAGAAGAGAAGGAAAAGGACGTCACGAGAATAAATTTAAATGATTAATAACGGCTTGTTTAAAAGAAGACAGTGTGACATGTGGTAAATATCAATAATGGTATTGAGATTGTTCGCAAGTATTGCTTAAACCACGTTTAAATCCACCATAAAGCCCGATGAATGTGGAGAAGAAAGTTTCTGAGAGGCCTAACAGGAACATTAAATTTAAATAATGCAATTTTAAGTAAAGCATATATTCTATAAGAAATATTCCAGACGTACGAATATCTTCCGGTGAGAGGTACTCTCGGGAGGTCCGCGTCGGTGGCGACGTCCAAGAGTTACTTGTATTACGACGACAGCGACGGAGAGGTGAGCAAAAAGTCACAGTCGAATTAAGAGCGAAAGCTGAAAATATATAATTGGTAAAATAATTACGATCAGTGTTCTTATCCGCGTTTAAATTAATGTTCGTTACACTCCGTAACGAAAAATACAAAAGAAGTTCCGTCATTGCACTTCGAGAACGGACCCTGTAAAAGAGAGCCTGTAGAAATCGGCGGGTTCGTTCGTGAAGATGTCTGATAGTGAGACACCCTCTGGGTGAGGACACGATCGGCGTACATTTCACGCGTTCTGGTAAAAAGAGGCGGAGCGTTTGTTCCAGGAGCAGCGGGAACTCGCGAATAGTCCCGATCTGTATCCGCGAGCTATGTTCCAAGAGCCGTACTTGCAGCAACTGGTAGCCGGCCAAGGCAGGGAACAACGGACCAGAAGAAACTCCATCGATTCGTCGTCCCATCTCTATTACCGTTCCAGGGTAAACTTAAGCTTGCCTCGAACTAAGCCTCGCGGATTTTCCGCCACACATTTTCTCATCGCCACCTCTAATGCACTCCAACCCTGATCCGACGCATTAGTTAGCCTCGGTGTGAACGTAGGCAGGATGATATTCTTCTCTTTTTTTTTAGCACCACCCAACCGCTCACCCGAGCGACCCGAGCCGAAATTTTGGCCCTACATTAAGTCTGCTTGGTTTTTCGTTGAGCTCTTCAAGCGAAGAAATAACTTTTCATCTTTAATATGAAAGGAGCATTAATAATGCTCCTTTGATGCTATAAAGAGAATTTAGATCTCCCAGGGGGAAATTTAAAATTCCGTATTAAGTGGAAAAAACGGAAATAACCCCCCATTTGTAGCATCAAAGGGAGCACAATAGAAGACCTTAGAAGACATAATGTAGAACTAAATAGATTTAATGTAGAATTGAAATTTCTATTCGGGAGACGCTCGCTCGTGTAATCGTTATGCTTACTCACACGACACGTTCTTGCAGCTAAGCACGGCTCTAATATTAATCTGGACGTATAGAGATAATCGACGACGACGACGACAACGAGACTCCCTCGCGATTGTGACTAGCTGTGTAGATCACCACAAGTAATACCGTACACCGATCTCCGCAATCCTCCGCGTCGTTCTCGATGACGATCGCCAATGGTGGTATACCTTTGCGTTTCAGGAACCGAGCCAGCCGAGATACACGGAGGTGGCCTCTAGTTCCGCTCAACAGAGTATCTCCACGTTGACGCGTCAAGGGTTGGAGGTGGTGGAGCTGCTGCGCGACGCTGAGAGGCAGGGTTTTACCACCGACGACGTTCAAATGGCTTTGGCGCAGGGTGCGGCGAACCCTCTCGAATGGCTGAGGACGCAGTGGCCGCATCTGGTGGAGACGGTGCAGGTGTTGGTGAGCGCGCAGGGCAAGGAGCTCAAGGAGAATACCGTCGGCGTCCTCTCGCCGGCCGAAGCAAAAGAAGCACTGCGAACGGTCAAAGGCGACGTTTGGAACGCCGTCGCCACTGCCATTCGACGCAGGCAGCGCAAGGTGTGTGCTAAGGCGAACCGTGATTTTCACTAGTCATCACCTCCGCTAATTCTCGACACCTCTTCTTCGACAGTGCGAACAAATCATGGCGAAGGGAAACTTCGCGCTGGCGGATGTCGTAAAAGCTCTGGATAATAATGCCGGCGTCGAGGACGCGACTTTGCTTGAGCTGCAACGGAATCAGCTCAAGCCTTTTTTAATGAGGATCTGGGGTCCTCCGGTCGGGGTGGAGAACGACGAGGCTGCACCGCACGAAGGTCAGTGGATGTCATACGTTATTTGAGGAGAGGGTAGGGTGGACTGAGTGTTATATTAGCTTAGAGAAAAAATATTCAGAAGATCGTTAAAAAGGAAAGAGACGAAGAAACGATTCATTTGACTTGATGAGGTTGTAAGGAGTTTAGTGTCGTATTTTCAGTGGCTCAAGAGAGCTACTCATAAATTTAGTACGAAGTTAAGGTAAACATATATACATAATATTATACACACAAATACGAAAATATTATTTTCTCTTTTTTTTTATTAATACTATACTTATGCATCAGTTAATCTATCTAACAGAGATGCACAGATAATAGAAAGGAATATATACCCAGCGAAAAGTGATTTTCGATTTGACGTCGATTCAACGTTCATTTCTCGCTGGATAAGTGTTTAAATATATATATATATATATTTTTTTTTTTTGTGCATTACTAAAAGTTATGATCTTTACACCGCTATACTTTCAAAATAAAGTGGTCAATAATTCTGATATCTGTATTATGTATAAAGTTTGTATATTAATTTTATTTAATTTTAATAGTTAGTTTTTCATCGAAATTTTATTTAGTTTGGAAGATATTAAAAATAGAAATTAAAAATAGCACGCTAGTTTCAAAGAACACGTATAGAAAATGCCAATTTGTTGCCAATTTAGTTGTAAATATCTCGAATGGTCAATCTTTTTCTAATTGCACAAACAGTGAGATAATATTTTAATGTAGTGCAAGTTTCGACGAATTCTTATTAAACTTTTTTCACCTTACAACCTCTCTCCTTATAAATGGCCGGAGAAATGACGATTCAACTTGACATTCGTTATTATATATCGCATAGTCTTTCGCAAAGAAAAATTTTCTTTCTTAACGAGTAAAATGGAAAAGTATATTGAGAGAAAAAATACGTAAAGAAATATTTATGCGGTGGGTATTTATAATATATTTACTTAGATTTCTTTCCCTAAATTCTTTTATTTAAGTGGAATAAATAACTGCTTTTGTGCCAAGCAAATTTAAGAAAATTTTTTCATTTGGAAAAAATTTCTCCTAGTGTGAAAATATATATATTGGCATAACCAAATATATTATCAGCGCCCACCGAATAAATATTTTTGATCTTTTAGATATGTTTTCTCTCAGCGTATAATCTTGCGGGATTCTTTCTCAATATTCATGTGCGCAAATACGAACCGCCGAATCTTGACAGTTGCAGTGCAACTGAGATTACTGATCAATTTGAGAGTTTGCGCGAATTTAACACGAGTATTGCTCGGAGTGGCGACGGTGATGATCATCGATCATGCACCACCACTTTCTTATCTGCCGCAGACGCAGCGGGTGCGGCCGACGGCCGGGCGGGGTTGGAGCAAGTACCGAATGTGTCCGATACGGAGGCGAAGAAGCAGGTAATGTCACCAATAGTTGATCATTTCGTGGCGTTGCAGGCCGACTTTCAAAAGCAACTGGCGGCCCTCCGAGAACTGACTGATAACTGGCGACACGAGAAAGACCCCCCGTACGAATTGGGTAGTAAGTCTGATAATCTGTACGACCACTCCGACGACGGTAACACTGTTCTAATCGATACAAATCTGGTACCAAGGGCCGTAAAAGCGCTCGACGTAGCAGAGACGGGCAGTTTAGTCGCGCGGCAAAGACAGACGACCGTAGATACTCGAGAAGACGCGAAACGCCCGTTGAACGCCACGTCAGCCGACGATCCGGAGCGATCCGGAGACGCTGCTTCGATCTCCACGGAGATACCCGCGAAAGCGACGCTCGACGATCTCGCGAACGCGCCGTCGGCCGGCGAAGAGAGCGCGGCGGAATCAGCTGAGCGCTCCGCGAGAAACGACCGGACCGATCGCGCGATCATCGGCGAGAGAACGTCGCCGAACGACGTTACCGATCTTCCCCAGCTCGGCCATCGGGCGAGTGAGAACATTGACGTCGAAGCGAGGCGCTCGCTTGAGGGCGGTGAGAACGACGGTGAGACGCGCGTCGACGCGGCGACGACAGTATCGATTGACGAAGCCGCGAAGCCGACGGAGAAAGAAGTCACGAGCCTTTCAGCGTTACTGGGAGAAGAAGAACGGTCGTCGGCGAATAATGCTGAAGCGTCCTCCACGTCGGCCGAAACTTCCGCGCTCGACGCGACGGAACCAGGTCGGTCCTCTCCTCGCCGGGAAACTTGGAGCACCGTCGAATCACGTAATATAGCGGGACAGAGCACTACGGCAGAGAACAACGAGACGCTCGTTGAAGTTGGGAAGACCGCGGAATCAAGCGGAGAAGCACTTGGGGCGCGAGGCTCTAGTGCTCCCGAACGAGTCGACGTATCGTCCTCAACCGTCGTCGACGCGACGAGGCCTGACGACGCGAAGCCTAAGGAAGGACCGATGGATCGACAGATCTCAATATCCACTGCCGGACAGAAGGACGAGTCACGCGTCGCGACGATCGAGGCTCTCATGTCGATCGCTCTGAGATCGCTCCCAGAGCAGTTCCTGACGCCCTTCGTCGCGGCCATGCAGATGTTGTCGCCGGGAAAATTAGTGGAAGGCGACCCGACGTCCGACGTGGAGCTCATGAACCGACTGAACACCCTGCGCAGCATGAAAGTCGCATCGGCGATCGTCATCCCGAGAAGTCCCGTTGACGAAGAGGCACATCCCGCTGCGAGCAAAACGGACGGATCGAAGAGGACTATCGACAACAAGGAGAAATCGAAAGCCCCGGATCCTCGGTTGCTGGCGAGATGCAGCGTTCCGGACATTAGGCAGCAGCAGGACGTCAGATCGGTACGTACAGACTCGAGCGAGCTTGACGCTTCACGAACTAACGCCGCGACGACCCGGCTCTCGGTGGACTCACGGTTAATCGACGGAGACGTCTCCGACGAAGCGTTGGCCACGAACGAAACGAAGGGGCTCACGGTCGAAGTGTCGCGAGCAGACGTCGTCGCGGAGAAGGTACAGTCGCGCGAGAGTCCTCGAGAGATGATTCTCGCTGTGGAAAATAACGGTCGAGAGGCTCCCGTCGAGACGACAGCGAGATCGCTCGGGGAGGCGAGCGAGACTCCGGGCGAATCGTTAAGAGCATCATCCCCGACACAGCCTAAGATCATCCGGGAGCTGCTTGTAACCAACGGTGTATTGACGCAATCATTGACCGACGCGTCATCATCGTCATCATCAAAGGAAGCGAGAAACTCTTCCGTCGCAAATAACGCATCCGTAGTCATTGAGCCGCTTCCGCAGGTCGATTCGTCGCGAGACGAAGTTTCATTCACAGTCATGAACGATCCTAATGCGGGAGAACCCGATCTTCAGCCGCAATCGATAGCCGCAGGAACAACGGACCCCCGCCGAGATCCTTCGATTAATCCGATAATAACGGGCGCGGGTAAGGCGCTACTTGAGAATACGCGCGACGCCGATGCGAAGATCCCTGACGTCGCGTCCGGCAGCGCGTCCTTAGAAGTGCCCGAGACTACCATCTCGTGCGCAGATACAACGTGCGACAAAAACGAGGCGAGACCGGTCGAAAATGCGCTGCACGTTTCGGAAAAAGTAGAGCAGACGATTTCGGTGGCGTATCGCGTTCCCGGCGATAAAAATGAAAGCACGTCGGGGAAGAACGTGCTGCCCGGGCGAAATGCAGCCGATAATTTATCCATTGTCCGCTTGCAAATCGATGAGAGTATCCCGCCGATACTGATGCACGCTCCAGTTGTGGTGAATTCGAGCAATTTGAAAGGGCCAATCGCGCCATCCGCCTCGGCGAGTTCCGCGACGTTCGATCGCGCATCGAGCGCTGGTGGGTTTCCGGAAGCTGCGAAGAATGATCCACCAGGCGGAGAGTCGGCCGTCGATCGACGAGCGATCACGCACGATCGCTCGATGCGACAGACACCCGACGAATCAGAAATCATCGTCCACAGCGAAACGTCGGGAAAGGAGGTCGCGGGGATCTCAGAAAGCGGCAAAATGGATCTCGTCGACCACCGTGAAGGTTCAAGCCGCGTCATCGACGTGCTCTCGTCTGCCAACCAATTCCTCCACGCGAACATCCGTGAATTAACGGATACCAATAACAACGCGGCGGGCAACGCGATTTCTCGAAGATGTGTCGCAAGTACTATCGACTCGGTCGGAGTTATTCCCGTCGGCCGGACCGAGAAACTGGGAAACGAGGTTTCCCTATGTAGCGCCGACCACGGCAAACGAGACGCGCCACGGGCGAGGAGAAGTATCCTGCAAGCGCTCAAGGAGAACCTTAACGTATTCTTCGCGTCGCAGAGCGAAGGGAGGAGCGTCGCTGCGACGGTTAACGAGCAGCCCTCGAGCCCCGTCACAACGAATATCGGCGACGTGACTTCAGAAGTAGCCGACACCTTCGAGATCACGATATCGGAGTCGGCCGCGATAACGGTGAACGACTGCGCGCCGATCACCGTGAACGTCGCCGAGTGTCGCCGAGGAGGAGGAAGTATCGGAGATGTCGATGCGATCGCGGCCCATCCTTCGTTAGGAAACGAAGTCGCGAGTAACGAACCGGCCGAATCCAAATTGCCAGGTAACGAATCGGCGGAAGCGAAGAGTCAAGGTCGTAAGAGCGTGATCGCGAGGCCCGTCGTAAAACCGAGATCCAGATCTCCGCTGAAAAAAGTCGTCCGCAGGAGATCGCCCGTTAAAGTGGTGAGAAAGTCCATCTTCCCGAGGAAGAATCCCGCGCAGGTCAGCATGAGTCCTAACAGCGCGGCCATCACGAGAGCGAGGGAGACGGCCACCGAGATCGCGGAAAAGTCGAGTCCGTTGCAATGGAGGAACGATCAGCCGCGAACTCGGAGGCCCACGAGATCCGCGTGTATCTCGAACGAGAAACGGGCAGACGGTAAAGGCAAACAGCCGATGGCCGACAGCAACGCGCGGAAAACCGCGGGAGATGTCAAGCCAACTGATCGCGTCTCCACATTTGGCAGAAAGAAAACGTCGATAACCGTGAACAGAATTAAGGAACAGGAATCACAAGGTAAATCGTTCGTTATGAAGAAAGAGAATGACAACAATTCGGTGGGGCAGAAATCTGAAGATATCGGAATGAAAAAGAGCGAAACTACTCCGAGTGAAAAATCGAGGAGGTCAAAAGTTACAGGGACTTCCAAAAATCAAGAGGTGAAGAAGACTACGCTTCGCGAAGCGGAAGCGAGGACCCCGCGAAATAATGATGTGCCAGTGAACGTCACTTTGACGAATAAAATTCCAGGTAATTCCAAAACAACTCTGCCGTCAAAAATACCCGTCTTGATGCATCGGAAGATCGGTCAATTGACAGATCAAACACCCTTGTTAGACAGCCCTAAGAAAAGTCTAAAGGACATGTCATTCTTGAAGAACGTTTCGACCAAATTACCGGTTGCTTCGCAGGTTACTTCTAGGTTAACTCTGAAGATACAGAATAAAGTATCGAGCACCTCGGTCACGCGGACGCCTCAAGTCAAGGATCATTCGGCCAGTGATGAGAGTAAATCTGACAACGCGAGCCCGATCGAAGAAACGACAGGGAACGCACGAGACCGGCAGACTCCGGAGGAGAATCGGCCAGAAGAGAGCGACGGAAAACCGAAAGCCGTCGAAGAGCCGAAAGTCCAATTGACGGGATGGAAGTTGGACGAGAATTCACGAGTAGTGGAATCGACGCGCAACGAGCTGTCCACAACGAATCTTGACGGACAAACGGAAGTGGTTGACGACGCGACTGAGGGAAGCTCCGACGCTCTCAGCTCCGAGGAGGACGAAGACACCGGAACGGCGCGTTACATCTCTGATGCTAACTCGAGGGACAGTTCCGCCGAGGAGTTTACAGATGCGGAATTGTTGCTGGGGAAAACCTTGAGTGAGATAAGATCCGAAATATCGGAGGGAGAAGAGGAGGATGAAGAGGAAAGGAGCGGGTCCGAGGAAAGCGAGGACATCGCTTATTCTTATGAGACGGAAAGCCACGATCCGAGCGACGAGTCGTCCGCAGGTTCGGCCGATAAACGCGAGCAGATTGTCTCAAGCGAACTAGAGGACTCAGTCGAGGAAGATCTGTACGAGGAGCTGCCGTCTGAGGGGGAAGAGGCGAGTGGGCAACTCGAAATGGAAACGAAGTCGAACAAAGGACCTAGGACGAAGGAGGAAACGGTCGACGACGTGTCCCTCGACGAAGTGGACGAGCCTTCTTCCCGCATCCCACGCGAAACGGAAAGCAAGGTCGAGGTAATGGCAGAAGGTGAAACGAACAAAGTGGAGTCGTTGACGGAAACTACCGTTTCACCTGTGGAATCGACACGGCCGGAAGCTACGAGAGTGGAAGTCGACAAAAAGATACCACCGGGGCTTCCCGGAGGCCTCGAGGTTGTGGATTATAACATTCCCGTGAAGGCACTTCCGACGAAATTCGAGCGGCCAGAGGAAGACGTCCGGTCGCTGGAGACCAGCTCGAAGGAGAAAGAGACGAAGCACGAGGGCAAAATCGAACAGGAGGCTCAAAAACAAGTCCCGGTCGTGCAGAACGGCGCGACGAAGCCGCCGAAAGTCGCGAGCGTGAAGCGTTCCAAGATGATAATAGGCCGAAGGGCGAGCACGGGCAGCAGAGGGCTGAAAAGCAAGAGGGACGACTCGCCGAAGGGATTGGATCGCCCGGGTGCGCCTCGGAAGCGATTCTCCCTCGTGGCCAGCTGCATTCGCCGGTTCGAGAGCGAAGAAAACGATCCGGACAAGACCAAGATCGCTCGTCGGCGCGACGACACACGGGGATCTCCCAAAACGGAGCGGGAGGTCAGTAGTAGACGAGAGCTGCCGGATTATCCATCACGAGAAAGAGGGAGAAAGAGAGAGAGAGAGAGAGAGACTAGACGCGCGCGTTGTTTGCCAAAAAGCGAGAGAAAACAAATCCAATGAAGTCGTCTTCACGCACAACGGACTCATGCGACGAACCGACCCCGGCCGACTTTTCGTTGGCCGGTCAATGTCTACAAACGACTGTCGGGATGCCGGACGGCAAGCGAAAGTCGAACGAAAGCGAACACTCGTCGAACGGCTGAGCAAACTCCCTCGAGATACCTTTTGTTCGTTGATTGCCGATAATGTAATGTTCAATCGCGATATAACGGGTGCGTTAGGAACTAATGTGCCGGGCAAGGGTGAGTATCGTGTCGTCGTGATTAACTCGTTAGGACGAAGGAGAGTATCGTGTATGCACGAGAAAAAAATATTAATACCGGTTCATATTCTCTTACAGAAGCAGAAATATATTATCTTATATGAAGATAAAATTTACTTATACATGAAGAAATATTTTACATGGTCCTATGAAATATATCACATTCTTGTCATTCAAAAATAACTTTCATGAATTAACCCTTTAAGGCCCAATGTACATAATAATGTACATTAACTTTGTGGGCCTGCCCCAAATTTTGTCTGTCGGCAAAGTAATGGCCCCATCGATATAATATTATCAATCTATTTCATGAAATAGTATCTTTCCAGGTGAAGATCAATATATGTAATCGCATATATTGAGCGAAGTCCTTGACACTCGGATTTATACAAAGTTATTTGTGAAAAAAAGTAAGTGTATTCTACTTGTGAACATTTTGCCCGATTTCTTTAACGATTATGTTATAAACAAGTAAATATTTTCGAAATAAAACTATTTTAACATTTTCTCATTTTTATATTTTAAAGCCGTCTAATGCACATAATTATGTACATTTAGAAAATCGTATTTTTCGATGGGCAATTTTATTCGAACAAAATAAATTTTCGTCAGGAACATCCTTTGAAACGATCTTATAAATTCACATCATTTTACTCCAATGGGAGGTGTATGGGCCTTAAAGGGTTAAGAAGACAAAATATTGGATAGGGAGAACAATATCTTCAAATTAATCAATTGCATCAGTTTGAAAAGATATCTTTCTTCCTATTCAATATTTTTGTCCTCTGCATTCATAAATATGCGTGTGCATTGTCCCCGTAAACTGTGATTAATTACTTAAGATTAATTGTCATGCGCTCGGCACAATGGACGCGTCGGATTCCTTCTTCTCCTCCTCCTCCTCCTCTTATCTCAGGTGTACGCTCCCTGTTTTCAGTCGCGCGGAATCCGGGACACTCGGCGGTCCCGCAGCGCTAATTATGGCCGCATAAATTATGTATTTCGAGTGAGAGAAGTTCGAGAGCTCGTTTCTAGACGTTGGCGCGGCCCACACCTTTCTCTTCTGTCGTTCTCTCGTATGATAGAGATTTTTAAGTGTGCTTTAAAGTGGATTTTTAAGTACACTTAAAAGCTCCTCGTCGCGGCTATGTCGCGTCAACAGCGAGGAATCGCGCGAGAGTGTTTCTCTTCCTCGCATTCGCACGTCGAGGTAGATCGATTTTTGGGGTGTGCGATTAAAAAAAAGAATTCACGCCGACGATCGGCTATAATCAGCTGACAATCGCCGGGCGAACACCTGGAATTTCAAGCACGGTTCGGAGAGTGGTTGCTTTAGTCCTCCAATTCGATTATCCTCCTTAGGTAACCGTCCAGCTATTCCCGAAGAGAGGAGGTCGATAACCTTGTTCTCGAAATAGCCGCCGGTTTGGTACGGACGACGACGTAAAGTGAAGTAATTCCTTATATCGAAAATTAATTAGCATAAACTTGGAAATCAGTTTACGTCGTTATCTCTGATCTCGATCGCGTCGCCGACGTGAATCGTAATAACGTTCGCGCGTAGACGGCTTCGCGCGTTTGCATCGATCAACATCAATCTCCGTTGGGGCTTTCGCGCTTTTAGACCGAGATTTGTAGAGAAAGTCGGCGATCTCCCTTCTATGCGCGATATGTGACAGTTGCACGTGTCGATATTGGCGCCGTGTTATGTTTGTCACGTGTGCAGAGAATAGCGCGTCGTCTGTTGGCGGAGGGTCGAGCGGCGAATTACGATGAGGCCGAAGTGGCGGCCAGTCTACTGGCTCTCAAGTTCGGCGACGTCGAGGCGCTCCAGGCCGCGAAGGAATGCTCCAGCGTGGAGTCGGCCCTAGCCTTCCTGCAGCAGGAGTGCGAGCTGTGCACCGGCCGTTTCGCGATGAGTCAGGTGAGCGCATCCGGCGGTGCTCGCCGAAATGAAGAATCTAGAAGGTGCCACGGGAAAGAGAGAACTATTGCGAGGAACGAGAAGCGAAAGACAGCGTTCTGGTTAACGCGGAACGGTAGCTTCTCCGTGCAACAACGTGCCGTATCTTCGAGTCGTAGATTTGATCTTTTCGCACGGAGACAAAAATATAACCGAGAAGACCTCGTTGAGATTAATGGCAAGAATCGGTAGTAATGAGACGATCGCTAATAATGAATAGCGACGTCACTCTGCGTCGATAACGATAATCGGCACAATCAATAGCGGATGGCGACTTTTTGGACGCTAATACTATTTTAGGGGTTCCTTTAGACTTCTGGTCCCTCAGTGCAGTTGTCTTGTTTTGATGATGTCTCAGAAGCGCATAATAAAGCAGAGTTAATTATTTATTGTACAATTTACTTTTCGTTGATACATTTTTCGATTATTACACCCAATGGCGAATTTATATAGAAACTAGTGAGATGCTGGAGCATCAGGACCCAATCGGAAGGGGAGCCTCACCTTAATCACCTCTTTTCATTTATTTATAAACAGTTAAGGCTCCTGTGCCTACCTACCTACTTGCCGCGGTCGCTTTATGATCGAGGAAATTCATACCCATAGAATTCTTGCCGGTGTATATTCCAATAAAAAGATACACCGACAAAATGACATTTGTGATCGACGACAGCACATTCGTAAAATTATTCCAAATACTTTCCTTCTGCTCTAACAATCAATAAATAACCGTAAAATTAACATGACACATGCAATCTATCTTTTCTCATGATTTCGTCACGTAAATTTTACGGTTATTGATTATCCTAGCAAAAGTGTTCGGAGTATTTTACAAGTGTGCTAAATTGATGTCACTTTACAGATATATCTTTGACCATATTTTGCAAGAATTCTATATATGAATTTCCTCGTTTCTGACGTCATAAAGCAAGGTGGTAAATACAGAGAAACCTTAATTCCTTATAAGTAAATGAAAAAGAGTGATTGAAATGGAGCCTCTCTTCCGATAGGGACTTCATGCATCTCATTAGATTCTATATAAATCTTTCATTGGGTACAATAACCGGAAAATGTACCAATGAGGAGGAAATTGTACGATAATTAGTTATCTCCGTTCTTTTAACGGTGAAATAATCCCTTTCGGTATTACAAAGTCAAGGGGGGAGGGAGGGGGGACGAAAGCAACAGTGGATGGCACTTAAGTTACTTTCAATAATCACGACATGTACGACATCCCAGATGGTGTCCATGCTGAAGTGCGTGCATCGGTGTTGCAACGAGTGCGCGAAGAATTACTTCACCATCCAGATCAGCGACAGAAACATCACGGATGCCGTTTGTCCGTACTGTAAAGAGCCTAATCTCAAGGACGCTAGCGAGGACGAGGTTCTTGAATATTTCAGCAATTTGGACATCCAACTGAAGGCCTTGCTGGATCCGCCGATCCACGAGCTCTTCCAAAGAAAACTCCGGGATCGGACTCTGATGCAAGATCCGAATTTTAAGTGGTGTATTCAAGTGAGGACTCGCCCGAGAGATCTTATAGAGCTCCACACAACCATGTGAGGCGAAACATAATATTTTCGTTTTTCTTTTCTTCTCAGTGCTCGAGCGGATTTTACGCCGATCCCGACCACAAACGTCTGATCTGTCCCGATTGTCGATCCGTCACCTGTGCCTTCTGTCGAAGACCGGTATGTACAACAAATACATATCTATTTATATATATTAAATTGAATAATAATAATAGAAAATCTTCTGATTTATTTTTTTTCAGTGGGAAAAGCAGCACGAGGGAATATCATGCGAGAAATTCGCCGCGTGGAAGGACGAGAACGATCCCGACAATCAAGCCGCAGGTTTAGCCAAACACCTGGCCGATAATGGCATCGACTGTCCTAAGTGCAGGTCCCGTTATTCTCTATCTCGAGGAGGTAAGGATGCAATAATAACTATCATTCCGAGCGTAACTTCCTCGTGTATACTTTTCCGATTTCATTCTTTGCCCGCGACATTTCTTTATTTATAATCGGTCTCGTATTATCGGTTTGTCATAATTTTCCAAATCTCATCGAATATTAAGCGTCAAGGCAAAGATCAGTTCTCTCGAATGATTCGTATCTTCCTATATTCCTTTCTTGAAAATTTTTCAGCCGAGACGACACGGCATATTCTTTTCTCTTTTCTATATATCTTACACATCTCTAAAAAAACTTAAATTGAATAATAAACTTAGTTGGATCTACTACTTGGCAATGAACAGATAAAAGCGTTTTGGTTGAGGGAAACAATTTCTGGTTATAAAAACCAAATTTTGTTCGTGTACTGAAGAAAAGATTTTTTCGGATTTAATAAAACTTCTTTCATTGAAACAAATTTGTCTTTTGAAATGGAGCAAACAAATAAATGTTTGATTCAAACAGGATTGTTTGGTTTCTCATAAACAAAAAATATTTTTACGTAAAATAACATATTTCTTTCGTGTTTTCATTCAAATATTACAATGATCGTTACAAGCGATAAATTATTTAAAAGAAGTAACACTATGTTAGGGAAATATTAAAGAACTTCTTCGTTTCAGTGAAACAATATTTAATATATAACAAAACAAATTTTTTTGTATTGAAAACGAAATATTATTTCCTCCAAATAATATTGCTTTTCCTATGGTTTATTCCAGTGAAATATATAACATTTTCATTTGAACGAAACGATATTTTATATTAAATTATGTTACTTGTATTAAATAAACTCAAGTTAAATAAACTATACTAAATCCAATGAAATTATTTTCTTTCCGTGAGAGCCAGAAATTTTGTTTCCTCCAGAACCAGAATGCGTTTGTTTGTCCATTGTCAGGTAGATCCAACCAAATTTATTTTTCAGTGCACCGACATTGCATAAAAACATTTCAAATAAAGCTCACGGGACATGTATATATGGACCGTACGATCGTCAATATTTACGATACACATGCATCGATATGCTAATACAAGGATTAATGAACGGGCGATGCCAATTATTGTCTTAATATGTATACGAGTCGTTTTAATATCGTGTTATTTTTCGCCGACGCGGCGAGATTTTAATACGCCGGCGGCGGGCGGCATATTTTCTCCAAATTATTCGATATGCAAATCGCGCGCTGCATTTTTTTGGCCGGCGGCTCACTGAAGGAGGGCCTCGTGAATTTTCATAGGTTGCATGCATTTCACGTGCAGCCAGTGTAAATATGAGTTCTGCTGCGGTTGCGGCAAGGCCTTCATGATGGGGGCGAAATGCCCGGTTAGCCCTTATTGCGCCAAACTGGGTCTGCACGCCCATCATCCGCGCAATTGCCTCTTCTACCTACGCGACAAGGAGCCCGTGCAGTTGCAGCAACTACTGCGGGAAAACAGCGTGGATTACGACACCGACGGCCCGGGAGCCGGGGAGCGCAAGTGCAAAGTGCAACTGCAGAAGGAGACGCCGACCGGGCTCGTGGACGCGGTGTGTAATTCCGACGTCGTCGAGGGCCACGCCGGCCTTTGCAGGTGAGATCAATCGCCGGACATACCGCCGGCTGAAAGACCGCGAACACGAGGAAATTCGCATATCTGCGGAAAATCTCGAAGAATCGTCAAATTCGAGAAAAAAAAAGCATTCATATCTGACAATAACTAAAGAGGCTGAAGAGTGACATTGCGCGCCTCTGCAACGCGTCCTGAGGGAGCTCGTCGTTGTCGTACGCAGAGGATTGTGCTGTACATTTTAATAGCCTATTTAGATAATTTACGTAGTGTCTACGTGATGTTTACACGAATTTTTTTCACGTAGACAATGTAAACTATGTAAAATATTATAAATTATTTAACATAAATTATAAGGAAAGGATAAACTATTATGATAAATCAATAATTTATAATAATTTATAATACTATAAATTATTGCTATTAATTTAAATTATAAAATAGTTCATGTACCCGATTTTGGTGTTCATGAAATTATGAAAATATTTAATATTAACAATTAAAAGGTTGAGATATATACATTCAGATAACGCAGAAATGTTATCATTTAAATTCACTTGTAGGCTTTTAAATGGGAAAATGTTCCTTAATTCATGATTACAATGGGCACAATATGCATAATATCTATTTTCCTTTTTTATTAGAGTGAAATAAAGTTTGCTAAATACACTATTGATTTTTCGTGATATAGTAAAATATTAAAATCGTCATTACGTTTAACCAAATAATTATATATATATATATATATAATCCACTTTACGCATATTTAAATATCTATATTGTAATATCAAAGATGTGTGGTTAGCCGCAAAAAAAGTTGCAACAATTTTTTTATTACTTTCGAAACATATCCCGTGTCCAATAGGAGAATTCGTTTTGTAGAATTCTCAGGGGATACATTTTCCTGTTGGATACGAGGTACTTGGTGAAACTCATTGGAAAAAAGTTGCAACGTTTTTGTGACTGACCACGCATGCTGCGTAATATACAAATGTTATTATTCAGGTTTACCTGTGAATTTTTAACATAATAATAAAAATAAGACTTACGAAATAAAAAAAAGACGAGCTATAACGGTTCATAAATTACTTATTAATCCACAAAGATAATATATTATACATAATTTATATTATCTACATATACTGTTATATGTTACACGTAAACGCCCAATCCTCATGCGATTAAATAGTGATCAACGATAACGACAGTTTGCTTAGGATCGGTAAGAATCGTAGCGGTGCAAATCGCGACGCAATATCGAGAGTGTCTCGCACTTGGACGATCTCGAGTACATGTTCGCAGCGAATTACGGATTTCTCTATCGTCGAGTATTGGTCCAGATGGGGGGGGGGGNGGGGGGGGGGTCAAGACGCGCGTCTCAGAATTATTCAAAGCAGCCGGCAAGAATTTCTCACCGTCATCGCGAAGCACGCCGCATTGTCCATGCTCGTCTCCTCGGCGATCGGCCCGTTTGTTGCTCCCGAGGAGAGCAAAATATCTTCTTCTTCGTACAAATGCCGATCGACGTCGTGGCTACGGCGCGACGCTTTACGTTCGCGCATTGATTCCTCAAAGTCGATTAGGGCATTCCCGCGGTGGAGTACACTCGCGTCGCATTCGCCGGCGATCGATCGACGTTAGGATTTCGCTCACGCACCGCTGTCGAGACGATCGCTTGCAATTTCGAGGTGATTTCGGATGTTCTCGAGTCTCGCGCGATCGTCTCGCGACCATGACGACGACGACGACGACGGCGGAATCGTTGATCCGATCGAGCTAACGAGGTCCCTCCGTGTATCCCAGGATTCATTACGTCGAGTATCTAGTTCGAAAGATCCGTATGACGCGGCTGGAACCGCTGCCCTTGCTAAACATGGACGATCTCGAAACGTGCGTGCGACGCGCCGGGCTGAAATTGCCCGCCAACTGGTACGGTCGCGACCCGGAGCATTACAAGAACGACCTGGTCGAGGTAAACGCGAGGGACGGGCGCACACGGCTGAAAAGCGCGGGGGATCCGACTAAAATCTGGGTACTTTTCCCCGCAGGCAGCACTACATTGAGTACTTGGCGGGCCTGGTACTCAAGAGCAGGCTGGACCCGGTGACGATCTTTGACTTGAACGACGCCAAGCAAGAGTTGCGCCGACGGGGAAAAGTTCCCCCTGCGAAGGACCAGGAAATGTCCGAGCGAGATTATCTCGAGGCGTGCATCCAGGTGACTAACACGATACCTTCTCCTCCCTCTCTTCCCCCGACTCTTCCTCCTGCCCGCTCCTCTCCCGCTGTGCGACCCACTGACCGGATTAACAGCAGTTGCATGATGAAAGTAGAATTCCCGCGTTGCATGAGACTCTCCCGTGCCGCCGAAAAACCGTGAAAAGTGAATCAATCGCCGTGAGTAACGCCGTCGAACGACCGACCGCACGCGAGCACGTCTCAACGTTTCCGGGCCTCAGCAGAATGGCTGACCTATCGGCTCGAGACAATGTTTTATGCTTTAAGTCTGTGTCTGTAAGTAACACACAATGACTGTTTCGTGTTTTGAGTCTTAAACTAAAAAGTCGTTCTAATCGACGATAAACGACGTTGTGCACGGAGGAAAGTAAAAATTACCGCAAAATTTTGTAATGCTGGATCATACCGGAATTATGACTGAAATTATAATATATGTTTTAATCTTTAGTGACGCGTATACATCATATACACGTCACTAAATACATACACACGACATACATTATTAAAGATTATATAATATACATTACAATTTCAATCATAATTCTGGTATGGTCCATCATTATAAAATTTTGTGGTAATTTTCACTACGGTATTTTCTCCGTGTATAATAAAAAATAATAAACAAATGATAATTTAGGTAAAGATTTAGGGCATAAAACGTTGTCTTAAAATTATAAGTCAATCATGTTATTGAGGCCTTTATATTGCCGTGTCTCATGATTGTTAAAGGAAAAATTGCACTCGTAGACTCGTTCTCCCGGTAATTTTGGACCTTGGGGAGCCGAAAATTCTCGTCAGATGTCATACAGATCCGGAGATTCACGCGCTCGACATGATGTCATGTATTCCGCGCGGTCGTTCGCGGTTTTCTTCCGCAACCACTCTCCTGATCCCGTGTACGAGTTCCTTGCTTTTCTGTCTTTTTTTTTTTTATGTATGTCGAAGTAGACATAAACGAACGGAGTGTATGCTGCTAGAATACATTAGAATTCCACAACCTCACTATCGCGTCAAATGTAATGCGTAACCCCGATGTTGCAGGTCGTAAAGCGAGAGATTCCACTGGAGTGACTGCGGCAGGGAATAGTCTCGAAAAGACGCGACTAAATAAACTTCGATAAAGTCACGAGTGATGGGGCATATTGTATAGTTTACTTGTCTCACTTGAGAGTGTGGACCATGAATAAAAATATTATATGTAGGACTAGAAAGAGAGAAAAAAGTAGCATCTTGTATGCAATGCCAAAGATCTATTTATTATCGACATGACGCAATAATGCGATTCCTACTACGTTTTGAATCGGTAGCGTTCTATTCGCGATTCGAAATGTCGCGAGGAGATGTTGCACGTAACAATCGAAGATACGGAGTAAACGAATATCCCTTTAACGATACTGTAGAACAATTACCTGCGGTAACTGCAATTAATGTTTGAAAATATGTACTTATTTCTGCTTTATATAACTGTTTTCCAAGAAATAGACGATAATTAAGGAAACTAAGCCGGTTACGAATTTCTTCTTTCCCCCTTCTATCAGATTCCCGAAGAGAATTAAAAAATTCCAATTTATAAGCGGAAGATATTCAATGATCGAAATCTGAAAGAATGCGCGTTCTCGTGCATTCCAGAGTGTCATAAGAGTGTCTCATCTCCAAAAATCAATTGACATGAACCGAGAATTTCGATTTCGGTCCAATAGCTATACTTTAGTATCATTTAGGTCACAGTCATTTATTAAAAAGTCACTCACCGCGTACATATAAAAAAATATTTATAGCATACGAAATGTTTGTATAATTACAAAATTGAATGTATTGTTTCATTTACAATTGTTCAATCTATACCTTCTATATTGCAAATCTATACCTTTAATATAGTTGCGACAGAAAACTGTGTAAGCTTTTGCTTTTCACAGGTGTCGTCGTACCGTCGTTTACAATATTTCTCAATCGCGCTATATTTAGTTTTTTGGTTTTTTTAGTAGAACTACTTAGTGACTTCTTATTATTGATTTTAGGTGTGGTTGCGACTAATTTTGTAAGTGTTTTACCATCGTTTCTCTTGTTTAACGGTGACTCTGATCTGCAACCTGATATATTTAAGCCTGCAGTTTTGTCTCTGCGTTTCCTCTTTTTCTTCTTGCGACTATTCTGTGGCGTCTCTATATTAGAATTGTTCAACTTGACTTTAGATAGTTTCAGCTTTTTCTTTTTGAATGGTAACACAGTCTGCTTGGAGCAGACAGAGCATTTGATAGCTAATTTATTCATCTCATTTTTTATAGATTTCTGTGCCAAGGAAACGCGTACTTTTGGGATATCCTGATCACCTTCATTCACACGCTTTACAATTCTTTTAACCGATTTGGACATTTTCCTACCGGGTATTAATCGAATTTGATCATTCATGGTGTTCCAAAGTGATCCACAATGCATACACATCACGGATGGCCCAAACTTTTGCTTTGGTAACTCCACTTCAGCTTGAAAGCTTTTACATTTTTGCCTGAAAATATACAAAAATTAGAAACATTTTTCTATTATTGATCATACATATTAATATATATATATATCTTTTTTTTTATGAATATATAAATATACTACTATACAATATAAAGATTCAGTTATAATAGTATTATAATATATAGTACTTAATAAGCATCAACTTTTAAGCACATGGAATATCTCAAAAACATACATTAATGTTTTTACATACATTATTATATATTAAGGCTGTGTTTGAAGAAGACGTTACCAGTGTTTTTGCGTTATTCAATTTTTGATTTGTGTCTAATAAGCGATAAGGATAGGATGAATAGATGCAATAGCACTGATAGCGTGCTCCTCACGAACGCAGCCTAAATAATTCCTTTCTAATAATCATAATTGCATAGTACCAACTTACATATAAAAAGTTTGTAACTCCGTGGCAAGTGGGCATTTTAACTTCGTTACAAATTGACTGATATTCCACAAGTGTGCAACAGTCTCCATAATAACCGTTATTGCATACGACGTTAACTTTCTCCTCTTTCCTGCTAAATATCTGGCTCCAGACACTCGGGAGAGTTTAGCTCTAACGCCACCAACAACGTCGTTTTAAATGACGTTAACTCGTGCTACTTATTTAACAATGGGTCGATTTAGATAATTATTTAGTTCAGTTACGCCAGCACAAATATGAATGAAATCACATTTATTCGACGCGTTTTATCGCACGAAACGAATCTGACAGAAAAAAAAGTGTCGCTTTGCCCCGCGAAGTGAGTTATTAATCGTCAAAGTTGACGACAAGACAGGTTAGGAAATTTGTCATACCGATGAAATGTTGCGATATAAGCATGCTTCGTGTCGTTTCGTGTAAAAAAAACGCGTCGAATAAGTGTAATTTCATCCATATTTGTACTGGCGTAGCTAAATTAAATAATTACCTCGATTTATTGTCAAGTCGTATTATAACCTCAACTTTTCCTCGTGTAAAGTGGCGGTTTGTAGCGGAGACTATGGAATTAAAGTGCAACATTACAGCAGAGAAAAATCTCAGGCACAGTTTAACTACATATAGTTGCGACAGTGCTAGGAAATTGGAGGGAATTCGATTTTCTTCCGCGTTATGCGTTGGCTGTGCAACTAAGAGTATGGCGGTCTGTGAGGGTGCCGTCGCGTGCGGCGTAACTTGCGTAAAGCCCGTATCAGACTATGTGTTGGGAATTGTAATGGAATTGAATTTAACCAATCAGTGTAAAGTTAATTAAACTCAAGTTTAGTGAAATATAGTGAATTCTACACTGATTGGTCAAATTACAATTCAATTTTAATCTTCAATTCATAGTCTGATACGGGCTTAAGCGTAAAATTTTAATAAAAACCAAGGAACAAATAATATACGATGCGGCAGTCAATAAATTTTTAATTCTCGTGGAAAAACGGCACGTTGATTGGCTACCACGTTGCTTCCCGCCGCACGGCAAGCACTGCCGCGTCCTGTGAGCAGAAGCCATTAAGCCCAGTTTCATCAACGCGAGTTCATCAAATCGGCCGATTAAATTCAGCTCTTCCGTTGGACTATCCAATCGCATCGTTGTTCGTTGGTGAAATCAGGCCTTAAAATTATAAACGTTTTGCGATCCTTAAGAGAGAAAGAAAGAATATGATTGGCCTATACGTTGCTTCGAAAAATGTGCAACATAAATCGTACATATTAGTAATGGCTGCATTCAGCAGAGAAGCAGCTTTGTAACTGTGAATCTGATAGGTGTATGTTCTTAAATTTAATCAAGATTAAGAGCATACACCAATGAAATTCACGAATTTTATACAATTGCAAAGTCACTTTCTCTGCTGAATGCAGCTAATATTAAAGCTAGAACACTCAATCGTGTGGCGGGAAAGTCAGGTATATTTGTTAAATGTACGTTTTTCAATTAATACTAATTAATAATTCATCTTACGAGTAGAATATTTATATTACAATTCAACGTTTGTTCTGGCATAATATGAAATTCTTTATTTTAGCTTATGCTTGCGAAAATAAATATCGTGAGATCGTCATCGATTTGAGAAATCTTAGTAAAGGATTAAGCTTTAAGTGACGAGGATAATATAAGGTTCCTATCCAATGATAGCGATGTTGACTGTTTCCTACAGAATATCCGGCAATAAATTCACACGCAAAGTTCTCTCAAAATTTCTTACGAAATTTCAATGTTCTCATGATAGATATTTGAACGATTTTCCCACCGCATGTTTGAGTGTTACTCACTTTAATCTGAGTGGTAAAGGATTTAAATATTGTCTGAAGACAATCACAACAATCGAAAATCTACCCTGCTTTTAGTATCCGTTACTTCACGATTATACAGTTTCACACTTTCTGAGGTCTGCACTCTGACACGCAGAAAGATAAAAAAAGCTCTCTTATCACTTCAAATAGGATTGCACAAGAGAATTCCAATGTTTAGTATGTTGAAGAGAATGACGCACAGTATATCTATGTCTCACTCCACTCATTCGGGTGCGTCCTATGAGGTAAAAATTTTAATGTATTCAGCAATTATTTTGTACACTTAGACCATTATTTCATGTTCTGATATTTTATTTTATATTCTACTGCAGTTTTAAGGTTTTAAATAATTTTACTAGTGCATAGAGAACAGTTAGCTTTGGGAGTGACAGATCTTGAATGAGTTATATAAAATATTAGTCAACATTCAACTGTATCATTTGTCATGTTGTTTTAGGATTAATTGGACTTATAGAAATTTTGGGGCACTCAATATAAAAATATCCAAAGAAAGATCTGCTTATAGAGTATGTATTGTTTTTATAGGAAGCTATAAAAGCATTATGCCTCACTCTGCAAAGCAATACTGCGTACTTGCAATCCGTGCAGCAGCACGTTGTGAATGATCCGAAGAAATTGAAAGAGACGGAGAAATATTTACTTAGGTAATGCCACAATCTTAATAATCAGCTTCAAGCTTTGAATGGATATCAATTCTACACAGTTACAAACATTCTATTAACAAAAAATGTAATATGAAAAATTTGTCAGTGCAAAAAGATTTGACTAGTTTCAGTAATGATTGATTCTCATAAATTCATACCACATGTAACACTATCTATTATCCACAGGTCTGGTATAACTCTGGAACAACTGGACAGCCTATCTTGCATCCACGTGGCTGGCACCAAGGGCAAAGGATCAACATGCGCGACCACGGAGGCTATCCTACGGCAGCATGGCTTTAGTACCGGTTTCTTCAGCTCGCCGCACTTGATTTCCGTGCGGGAACGCATCCGAATAAATGGCGAACCCATCAGCCAAAAGTACTTCGCGCATTCTTTTTGGAAGGTTTACCGGCGTCTGGAACAGAACCGGGAGCACGAGTCGGACATGCCGACGTACTTCAAGTTCCTGACGATTCTCATGTTCCACGTGTTCCTCGAAGCGAACGTGGACGTGGCGATCGTGGAGGTCGGAATAGGCGGCGAGCTGGACAGTACCAATGTCTTGCGGAACCCGGTCTGCGTGGGCGTGACGAGCCTGGGCCTGGAACACGTGTCGTTGCTGGGGAACACTCTGGAAGAGATCGCTCAGCAGAAGTCGGGGATATTCAAGCCAAATGCGGCGGCCTTTACCGTGCCGCAAACGGAGTCCGCGATGCGCGTTTTGTATAAGCGTGCTGTTGAGAGACGATGTCGCAGCTTGAAAGTCGTCCCCGCAATTCAGAATCAGGAATGGAAGCAAGTCTTCTCGTCGACGGGCATCATCAGCGATGTGCAGCGGCAGAACGTCTCGTTGTCGATCCACATGGCCTTCGAGTGGATGAAATCGCGACGCAATAAGTCACTAATCACGGACGACGAATACAATGACTTTTCCCTCCACGAGTATCAAAGCGATAAGGACGAGTTATCTAAGGGTATCTCTTTGGAGAAAACCGCGCTGGCACTTGCGAGCTACAAGTGGCCCGGTCGAACGCAGATCTTGAAGACCAGCGTAGCGGACTTCTTCTTGGACGGTGCTCACACCGGCGAGAGTATCGTTCACTGCGTATCTTGGTTCAAGAGAGCGAGTCGCAGAACCTCCAGCAAGTTCCTCATATTCAACACCACGGGCGATCGGGATTCGTTCGAGTTGTTGAAACTATTGACACCTTTGGGCTTTGACAGAGCCTACTTCACGCCTAATTACGCCGGAGTAGCCAACATCGAGAATCTGTCCAATTACACGATGACGAGTGACCAGAAGAAGAGGTGCGAGGAACATTGTGAGCAATGGGGCAAAAGCTCGGTGCTGAAGTACAGCGTCGCCGAGGTGCTCGTTGATATCAAAAGACACAACGCATCGACGCAGGTAACCGGTGACGGCAAAGCAGAGGTACTCGTCACAGGTTCCTTACACTTGGTTGGCGCGCTACTCACCATTCTGGATCCCGATTTGACGATGACTAGCAACTTCTGACATAAAACTGGTTGTCCTGTTATAGTAAACGTAAATTCAATTTCTTTGATCCCTTGACTGTCGATGACACGTGTATGTCATGAAGGACTCATTAATTTTGAATTATAAAAACTCTTTCTGAGTTAAACGCCTACTATATGCTAATAGATTCACATTATTTAACATATTTATTAATTAAAAGTAAAAATTATCACAATCACACTTTATTAACGTATTTTCTTGAAATAAAATGTTTATATTTTAATCATTATTTTCAGTGAGTTTTCAGAGAGTTGTTGTCTCTTAAAGTGTCCCTTGATCTTAAAAGAGAGCACAAGTATAAATGTGAATTAAGATTTAGTAAACGAAATAATTTTTTGTTTTTCCACATCTTCAGCCTGTTGTCTGCCGTATTGGATCTCAGCCATCCTGGTTTTTAATCAATTTTAACAGCAGCAGTTTTTTTATTCAGCGATCTCGAAAACCTTTTATACATATATATTGGTCATAAATTGGCTCATTAGTCATTATGCTGGACATTTTGAATTCACTTGTGCAGTTTAAGTGTCGGCAGCGAAGGGGTTAAAGGTTTCTTGTTCTTCAATGTTCAAAATTGTTTATATCTTACGTAATATTTTCCTACGAATTTGCCCCCCCAAAAAAAGAGCAAGAAGAATTTTGAAGGCAATTCTGAGGACGTGAAAGGTATCCGAAAAAAATCAATAACATGGCACGTCATATTTGGGGTTATGACGCGACAATGAAAGTAATATTCTTCGTTTAGAAACCGTAGAATTATATATTTAATAGTATCAATAGCAAAAAAAAAAAAAAATATCATTTGTTGTAACATATAGATTTGTGCTAAATGGCAGACGTGTCGGTTGCGGATGAATCTCGAATAGCTACTTAAAAGATCTTTGGATGATAATCTAATTCCGACTCCGCCTCGGTGTCGGACAGGCTAAGTGAAACGCCAGTTCTCCTTCTCAGGCGATTATCCTCAGGACTCTAGAATAAGACAAAGCACAATTGAAGATGTAAGTCACCTCGCGGATCGTTCAGTAAACATTTACCTTGTTATTTTGTACGAGAGAATTAAACGTTAATGCATCAATAAATGTTACGCCATGAATTCAACATTGAATCAGAATCCTGTAAGATCTTCCATCAGGTCTGTTCTTTTTAACCGAACTAGTGCTGCACTGGAACTCTGTTGTTCCTTTTCTTTCTAACTCTCAGTTATATACTTGTTTTATTCTTAAGGCAAAAAATGCAACTTTAACTAAAACGCACAGATCTATTATCAGATATTTATCAGCGCTCTATCCGAAGAGGAGAAGAATACTCTAGATTCGACTTCTGGTTGGAAAAATATTTTTCCTCGACGATATGGTCGTCTTTGCGATCGAAAAGGGAAAAATTTGTTCGTTCCTGCGATTCTACATTTTCCGTACGTACAACGACGACGAACTTGATAAGTAATTCGTACAATGAGAATAATACGCAATTTACCTGATCTAAGATACCAGCAGTGGGTTCAGACGCGTATCCTACTTCCTGCGCGTCTTCTTCCAGGTCCGCCTCGTACTCCTCCAGTTCGTCCGAGTCGGAGTCGATGTCGAGATCGACATACCGGCTGCCGCGTGAAACTTTGCACACCATCTGCGCGAGATCGGTGAAAGTGTACGAGGAGACTGACTGTTGATTCGCCGCCTGATTCTTCGCTTGCATAGCTCTCGCATTCTCTCGATCCGCGTTGAATCGAGGCAGAACTCCGGCTTTCGACTGGCCCTCGAAATACGTTTTACCTGGCGAACACAATGCAAATCACCCGTATGAATCTCTTTGTTCTTCACCAGATCACGATAGGACAAGCGGTACGTCATGTTCAACATTTAATCGGAATCCTGTAAGTGCAACAATTGAGATTAATACCATGATTGAGATTAATACCATGATTAGAATACAGACATAATTTTCGTCATAACGAGAAAAATAGAAATAAATTGTGATAATAGATAAATGGTTGACGACACATTGTTAAATGATAATGATGATAAAAAAATAAGACACAGAATGGGATGAGGCATGCTATTGATGAAGCGTTTTATGATTTAAGATAGTGGCTATAGCTTGCTGATTTGAACCAGCGATAATTTCCTAAGAGCCAAGAAGAATGAATTCGTAAATGCCAGTAACTAAAAAAGATTTATGAAAGTAACTAGTCCTGTGTGTATTTAGATACTAATTATCTAATTATTGATGAACGTTCACAGATCTTAGTACGATAAACTAGTATTTCCCTTACATAAGACGGAATTCCCGTAGATTGAAAAGGGAAAGATTAATGGAAGTTCCAGCGGTTCGACATTTTCTGTAAATGTAACGGCAAATTTAAATTGGGCCTACAATGCAGGATTGTTGGCAGTTGTAAAGTCGCAGTCGGTTCGATTCCAGTGGCTAGATTGGTCGTAGGACCGACCCGGGCGACTATATTACAGGCCGGGTTGTTCCACCTTCGGATAAATTTATCTAATGTTCTTCCATAGAATACTCGCAATTTTTTTTGCATTCTTGTAGTTTATTTTCGTATGGGAACGCTCTTCATCCGTTAGATAAATTTATCCGAAGGTGGAACGATTGCTAGCGACCGCATTGTAGCGACCCAACTTTATCGTCTTTGCGATCGTACCGGTGAATACGCCAGGTTTCTCACCATGTTGGTAGCCTACGTCCTTGATCTCGTCGAAGTTGGCGAACTGGAGGGTCTTGTACTTGTCGATCGGTGGCCTGATGTATTCGCAATAGTCGGAGGTCTTTACCTCTTCCAGCTGGCGAACGCAGCTCACATACGCCAGTCTGGACTGGATGTCCGGCAGATTCGGCACCTTCACTGGCGTAGCGAATGGATTCCACCGTTTCCACAGCAGCCACCAGCCGGACAACGAGTCTCCGTAATTCGTCAGATCGGTGTCGTCTTGTGAACCGACGTCGATGGCCAGAATGTGATGCGCTCCTTGCCGTAGCATCTCGTCAGCTTGAGCGGGAACATGGAGGAATGCATGAATCAAGAAACGATTTGATCGGTCTGTTCTTTTTACCCGAACTGGGCCAGTTAAAAAAAATGTACATACACATTGAAGCGTGTGAAGTGTACGTACAAGATTCTCAACCTTCGGTGTGTGCGTAAATTTCTTGAACTAGCATAGCGAGTTCAGGTAAGAAGAACAGGCCAAGTGTCGGCTCATGGAAGCTATTAAGTTCAACAAGTCTCAACGCGCGCATAGGATATTGTTGTGGTGCGAGATGAGAAAACGTAAGACCGTGACGCAGCTTGCGCACGTGTCACAATCGTGCGTCAGCCTGTTTGCAAAACACTTATTTTTTCGTTTTTTTTTCAGTGCTGATAGACGTGAGACAGTGCCGGAAGCTACGTTTGGTATTTCTATAAGATTTATCGGAAATTTGTTATCGATCTATCGATCGTGATAACGTGACATAGCATCGCGATATAAGGATATCACGGGTTTCATAACAATGAGAAATTACAGTTAGAATTAATAACGGATAAACAATAGGGAAAGCGAATACCTGGCACGTTATTAACATAACACCCGTCGACCAAAAGGTGCCCGTCAATGGGGTCGCAAATGGGAGGAAAGACTCCCGCAATAGTCATACTGCCGCGAATGTATCTCCACAGTAAACCTGAGCCGACTTAGCTATTTAGAATTTGGTAAATTCATCTTTCATCAACGGGAGTGAGCTTGACATTTCTCTCGCGACTTCGTACGACAATATAAAGATCAACGAGGCGTGCAAACATATTAGTGTAGCGCTAACGTTTGAGAACAATCGTGCCAGCGTAAATATGAAACTTGACCGATTAAAACAGGTATTCTACACAATTAAGAACAAAAAAAGAAGCGCATAATTTGTCACGAGAGAGAGAGAGAGAGAGAGAGAGAGAGAGAGAGAGAGAGAGAGAGAGAGGGAGGGAGGGAGAGAGAGAGAGAGAGAATCGCGTTCGATGTAATTCTTTGTGTATATTGCCGAATTAAATAATATTAGGTGAGTTTTTGACACACCAAATTGTAACAATTCTGTATAAATTTGTATGTATTATCGTTGAAATATGTAAAAATCTTTCTTCCGGCGACAGTTTTTACGTTAAAATCCCTATTATACTGACATTGTCGCCATGTTATTTTATCTGATTTTTTCGTTAGATCCTACATCGATCGCGCGCAGGCACCACGATGTTCGTACGATAATGCGGTCTGAATTACCTGGAAGGTTATTGACGTACCCGCCGTCGAGCAGAAGATGGCCGTCGACAGGGTCACACATGGGTGGCATATAACCAGACAAAGACATCGAGGCCCGAATGTACCGCCACAGCGATCCTAAACACGACGAATATTCCCTTTAATGTTCCATTTAACCCGCACATTTAATTCGGAATACTTCCTGTATCCTTCAGCTGCGTTAATCAACGTGGTCAACTAGATTTTCCCGTTCTGTCTATATCGCGGCCAGAACAAGAGAGAGAGAGAGAGAGACGGGCAATTATTAGCCAGAGTCAACTGACTGAGATCGTCAACGGTTTCTTTGACATGTCCAATTCGAAATTATTTTAACAACGTACGAAATTATTTTAAGAACGTACAGGTGAATTCTGAGGTGTCCGAAGATCCAATATTCAAGTCTTCTGTGCGTGTTCTGTACTATTGTGTTGTAATTTAAACACACGTTTAAAAAAAAAATAGAATGTCGATATATTATGAGATGCAAAATAATATGAATTTTTAGGTAATTTGTCTTTTATCGGGTCAAGTATCTTAGAATTCCTGTCTATATCGTGTTTCAGCGAAAAGCATACAGGAAGCATATTTGCACAACAATTTACATAATTTATACATCAGGGATCCGCCTGGCGCGAGCGACAAACAATAATGTGCCCTGTTTTTTTTTTTTTCTTTAATCGAGAAGCATTAAACGGAGAGTACGTCAACAATGATTATCCGGTAAGCTCACTCCCGTTTTTTTTACAGCTTTTACAATAAGAGAGCTCTAATAGCGTCGTAATCTATGACAGTGCATAGAATTAAGTTTAAAGAGAGAAAAGGAAAGAAAAAATTCTACGTGACACAAACAACAAACACAGAAAGCTACAATGGTGGAAAGTACGATGTTTCGCGTATTTGCATTAGAGAAACTGACAAAGCGAGCAGTTTCGAATATCTTTTCGCTCATTCATGACGGAAAGGCTTAGACAAAAGGTCATAAGCGAATAAAATATCAGCGGAAGAATGTATGAGCATTCAAAGAAACAGGAGGCTCTGTTACCGAATATTTGGAGTGAAAGAAAAGAACATATAAGGTAATGATTCAAGATCGTACAGACCGTGTGTATGCGTGCGCATACAGGAGTCCGTGATGTCTGTGGTTATAGTGAAATACGGGAGCCAGAGGTCCTCTATGTATGTGTCGCTGAAGGTCTGCTGTATCGTCTTGTTGAAGTCCTTGCCGGAGAACATCGAGGTCATCGGATAAGTCAGGTCCATAATTTGCCGCCACCATTGCGTCATTTTCTACCAGCGAGAGAAATATACGTTTCGCATTTAATAAAAAAGATCCATCGTTAAAAAAATTTCCGTAACGTTGGACCATACAGAAATGATGACCGGAGTTATTATAGTTTAATTCCTGGTAAAATGTGTGTATCACATATTTGAAGTTCGTCTGCTTTGCAATTTATATAGCAATTGATGCTACAACATCGGCACTTAGAAGTTATAATCCAATTTTACAAAAAATATTATAAAAAAGGATATAATTTAATATGACAGCAATATATCTTCTATGTAATAATGGTGAAGCATCAGAGGCCCATTTCGGAATCACCTCTTTTCACTTATTTATAATAAGATTTTATCGTAAGTTTTAATAATTTTTCGTAGACTTGTAAGTTAAGGGGAATAATATTAGCATCAGGTCCCACGAAAAGTCACCATTCGCCACTGTCGCCATCCCTCATTCGACCTTACCTTGGACCACTCCCTGGCCTTCTGCGTAGTAGTGGTGATATTCTTCTCCATGCACCACAACGCGCCCATAAAGGCGCCGATACTGACTCCGCCCACCATGTCTATGGGTATTCCCGCCTCGACGATGGCCTTGAGCATGCCCACGTGGGCTGCGCCTCTGGCACCACCACCTCCCAATACGAGACCAACTGACGTGCCAGTCAGCCACCGCGCCAGTCTGCTGAAATCGCTGTGCACATTCGGCTCGGACATCAGCACCTTGGAATACAGCTCGTTCTGCAACGAGACAAAAGACGTCGCGGATTAGAATATGGAGTTGGTCGTCGACCTTCGCGATGCCGCGCGCTTACAATTCTGTACTGCGATCTCCTGGTAAACATGCGCTTCGGGCACTGAATGTGATGGTGGCTGGACACCCACGATCTCATGTTCAGCCATTGAACCGTGTTCGTGGGTCGCTGACCGTTCTGCTCCTTGTGCAACAGCACCAGCTCCTTTTGCGTTCTCATTACCAGTCGCTCCACCTCGCGCTCCGTTCGGCCGATCGATGGTGGCCGGTCGCCCAGACCCACGATGAGGATGCAGTCGGCTTGTCTCACACATCGCTGAGTCCACAGGGTGTAACTCGAGTCGCATTGATACAGAGAGATCCGGTGTTGATCCTCTTGCTGTCCCAGCCAAGACGTCAACCGGTACTCGTTCGCGGGCTCCATGATGCTCGTTCCCAAAGTCTACCGGCAAGTGCAACAATTAGCAGTCATTTCATTACTTTTTCTCATCACAGGAAAAACAAGATAATAGGACATTTAATTATACCCAAATAAATAAAATTTGATTGCTATAAAATAATTTAAAATTAATTGTATTATTACTAAATATAATTAATTGAATTTGTATTATTATATATAATTCATGTTGATAAATAACATTTAATTTAATAATTTTGACATAATTTACATACCTTTCTCACGACTTCCGACGTTAGACGAAGACAGGGACCAATGGCGCATAAAGAATGATACAGTTCGTAAGTGAAGGCGGTCAACGGCACGTCATCCGACACAGGTACTATTGCGACAGTTGAGAAATTTACTTGGGCCGGCCTTGCGTCCACCGTCGCCGCGGCTCGCCTAGAAGATAAATGTAGGACATTGTCACCAATAAAAAGATCCAGGAGACTTATAGGCTTTTGCAAAATAATTTCAATTGTACGTATTGACATCAGTTAGAATCTCTCCCGATTATTTAATATATTGTCAACATATTATCACGTAACACTTACTGAGTATCATTGCTGTGGTTCTTCGTGTGCGCTTGCTGCCACGTACCAAGTATACGATGACCGAGGAGGTTGATCAGTCTTGTAACGACAATCGGATATCTGAGTTTGATCACATTGAACAAACCTTCCGGTAATTTCGCCAGTTCAGAATCTCGCACCGCCATGACGGTCGTCGACCGCGGGGTCTGCGTGACCATCTCTACGATCCCTACCAAGTCGCCCTTTCCGTATTCCGCCACTAACTCCTTCTTGCCATCCTTGTAAGTAATCACCGAGCGCAATCGCCCGCTTAACACAATGAACGTCGAGTCTGACTCGTCTCCTTGTCTGTAAACGGCTCTTCCGCTTTCAAGGAACAACCAGTCAAGGGCAAAATCCACCTGTTCCATAAGAGGTAACTCGGTTGATTCACAGAATGTGTTCTTATCAAAGTTTCATCTTCCTTCCCTCACTTGCCGCCTCACTTACCTGCCTTACGAACGGGCTTAATCTACGAACAACGGTATGCGCCACATGCAACACGACGGTGGGTTGATCTCGCATGATAGCGAAGAACGTTGTTTTGCTGATTAGTGCGATGCGACTGGGATGTTTCGCCCGGATGGTGTAAAAGGACGGCTCACCGGTAAGCACCGCTAAGCCGCCGACGATCTCGCCCTGATGAGCGCTGAACATGTGGACTTCTTGGTAGGCGTCCCTACTCTCCGACACGCGTTGGCTTACTATCAGTGAGCCCGAGAGCACGTATACGAGCGCAACGTCCTGCGACACGATAAAATCCGGTTAATAATATGAGGCAATATCTCTGTAGAAAACAATCCTTGATTTAAAAATGAAGGCGAAGAACAAAGAGACGAACTTTGTGCGATTCCTCCTTCATCAGATAGGTACCAGCCGGCACTTCCCTGATCTGCACTTTGTCCTTGAGCAGCGTCTCATCCTCTATGCCGAGTTCTTGGACGAAAGCATCAGTGGCTATCTGCACGAGCTGCGATTCGTCCAACTGCTGCTGCGGTTGCACCGCCTCGTTGGTCGAACGCTTCCTGTTTCCCGAGTGAGCAGCTTCAGAATGTGATCCTTGAATGGGCTGCGATGTTGTGGGAGACGAATTGGGCCAGTGAGAGTCACACTCCGGCACCATGTCCGCTGAATTCTGACTTAGTTGCGAGCTGAAACTATGATTCTTCCAATCGTTGCTCTTCGCTCTGTCACAGAATATATAAAACTTAATTAGATCAATCGTCGATAATGCAAGAATTCATCGCGTATCGATTTCAGTATCTCTCACCGGCGATTCACGTTAACAGATTGGGAACCGCTTGGATTTGCAGGTACATGAGAGACATCGCTAGGATCGTGCGTTTCCGACGTACCAGGAACAGCAGATCCACCTTCGGTGCTCTGCAAAGTAAAGTTCTCTCTGGTTCTCGAGCGTACCGGCGAACCGGAGAATGGGCTTTGCTTCTTCTTGTGTGTTCCCTGATTAACTAACTCCGCAGAGAGACCGAGATATTGGTGTAAGGTAGTAAAAGTAACTCTCTGCAGACGCACCATGATGACTTGGATAACTCGTACAAATGCGTCAGGATAATCTTGAAACACCTGTAAGATAATATTTATATACGTTATAATAGTTATATATCCGTTATATCGGTTTTTTGGTTTTATAACAGAAAATTCGAAAGAATAAGAAGAAAGTCTTGAAAATGTGTAACTTACTTCTTGGAACGCACTCATTGGTAGTTTGACTACGATAGAGTCTTCTACAGCTCTCGCTGACACAGTTTTGTATGTACTTGTATGCCCGGTAAGTACGTCAGTAAAGCTAAGAAGACTGGTAACTGACTCGCCGGTTTTGACTAATTTTAACGATATTTGGGAACCATCAGGCCCAGTAATATATACATTGACTAAACCCTGTTGCACTATAAATAAATTCTCGTCGGGGTCCCCGATTTTGAACAATGTGCTACCAGCAGGTAAGTTCATAATTTCTGTGTATTTGCACAATTTTAGGAACACAGGCTTCTCGAAATGTCCAAAGACTCTAATACTTTGTAACATATATAGTGCATCTGGTGGCACTCTCTCACCAGGTCCTAAATCTTCCTCCAAATATTCGGCAGGTGGTTCCAATACCTTTGAATTATATAATTTGGTTAAATATATTAAACGTGTAATTGATTAGTAATTGGTAAAATAATTAGTAACATACTTTGAGCTGTTGCGGAGCAGTCTCCTTCTTAAGTTGTAATAAGCGACGAGCAAATCTCATGACTGCTCTCCTTTTCTTTCCTTGTCCGGTAGCATGGACTTGGCCACTGATAGACTTTACTTTGCGCAACATCTTTCTCCCATAAAAAAGAACTTTATCCCTTTTTCTGAATCTCGGTTTCCCAGTACCTACTCCAACAAACTCCTTCACCTCCGGCAAAAATTCTTTGTTCTTCCATTTTCGTACAACAAAAATTAATACAACTAAGAGAATAAGCAGCAGAGATGCAACAATTGTAACAAGGAGTGTGGTTGATGTCTGATAATCCTCTATAAATCTTCCAATCCATTTTGAGAATGTATATGATCCCAGACTTTCGTTCACCTTGTCAAACAATTCTATCACCTGTGTGTATAATATATTCTATTATCAGCTTGTCTAAAAAAATGCTCAATACTCATTCCTCTTATCTTATATGACTTATATATATATATATATATATATATATATATATATATATAAGTTATCTATTTATTACATAAATAAGACAGAATTCATTTTTTATTTTAATTATAAACAAAAAAATTAGCTATAGCTACTATTACTATAGTCCTGAGAGTCTACAAACAAAATTACTGATATATTTATTCATACATCAATATCTTAATCTTCAAATTTTGGTTAGAGTTATTTATAATTTTACATATATATATATATATATATAATTTCTGGGTTAAAATCACATCTACGGAAACTTTACAACAAAAGAGATATCAAAGCAAGGGCAGTAAATACCTCCATAATGGGTACTCATGTCTTCCTCTTCGTTGAAAAACACGACCCGAGGCGAAATAGCTCACGGTCAGGTTCTCATTTATTAAAAAGCACGAGTATGAGTTAAGCACTGTAAGATAAGAAATTATCTACGAACAACTTAAAACGACCTTTGATATACAATAGGCGACGCGTGAGTAGTCTCGGCGCTGTTGGTGGGGATTCGACAAATTGACTAACAATCTCTATATGTAAACATGTACGTCATATAATCATAACGGTCTCAAGCCTATATCAAATGACATATTGAACTTTATACGTGGCTCTGAAAGAGCAAGATAGAATGATTACTTCAACTTGATAAATTCTCTTCTTAGTGAAAAATGCGAAAGGATCACAGCCGTAGGCAAAGCAACATATCGATTAAAAATAAAAAAACTATCGAATAGCAAGTAATCGAGTTTAAGAGCATTGAGAGGATAATCGATCTTTTAAATATTCGACTGTGATTGGTCAATTTTTTAAAACCGTATCAGACTACAGATTAGGATTGAGATTGGATTAAAATCTAAAGTTTAGTGAATCTTACTCTGATTGGTCAAATTTCAGTTCAATCTCAATCCTAATCCATAATCTGACATATGGCTTAAAATAGCTATTAAGCCAGCAGCACACGGTGCTTGTTTTCGTGCTGGATCGCTTGCCGGATGAAAATACCGCGTTCTGATTGGCGCATCTCAGAAAACGGATGAAAATATACCAATCGGAACGCGGTGTTTCTATCCAGCAAGTGAATCGGCACGAAAACAAGAACAGTGTGCTGCTGGCTTTAGTCTCAGTCTACAATAGTGTCCATTTACAATTATGTCGGCCCACAATAAGTGCTTTAAGCTCTAAGCCTTAAGAAATTTACCAATTACAGGCGAATGTGAAGAGAATTGTGATTGGTCATTTTTTTTCAGGTTTAAGGCTTAAAATACTTATTATAGACCGACACTTATGGAATATTTAGAATGTACATTCTATTCGCAGTTTCTATATAATACACTAGACCGCGTATTTCTCAAGCGTAGTCTACGGTGGGCATGCCTCCCGATGCGGCGTAACTGCGTAACTTGCGTCAGCCAATCGAGATCAAGATTTCCAATCAGCCAATCAGCATCGTTGAGAAATAGCGACAATAAAATTTCTTATATCCTTTTCTTTTTTTTTTAAAGTGAAATATTAATTAAACGACCAAGACGGAGTCTGTAAGCCTACCTATCAATTCGAATTTATGTCTTGGAAAGATGTCTCGGATCGTACGGTTTTGCGCAGAAAAACAACAGAAGTCGAAACCACAGAATACATAATTCTTACTTTTCAAATATTCTTTCCTTTAGCGCCTTATTATTTACGAGAATGTATCGATCTTTTAAAATTGAACTAACAGAACTATAAATATGTTGATTTGTGTTTGTTTTAATTTATTAAGAATCCAAGTAATAACTTTCTTCGATAGATTATTTTATTATTACTTCAGTTCTAAATAACTGTCTCGGTGGATAACAAGCACGCGTGACTTCGCAAAAATTTTCGACATATGTTAACCGATTTAGCATCATCGTTACACTTGGTTCAGACCACGAATAAACCACGTGTATGCTCGTGATATACATCAAATTGACATGTGATTGTATCGTTCGACATACGAATCCTATCACGCCGAGCAAGTATATAAGAGAGAAACACGGAAACGAAAATATGATGTTGTTGCTGAAATCAAGTAGTGGATTGGGGATTATTAGAACGACACGATAGACAAAAACACGCAACAGAGTCGTTCGGCATATCCTTAAGCTTCAACAAAGGAGTAATATGTTGCAGGCTGCAACGCTTATTATTTTCGCACTTCTCGCTGTAATGGGCGGCGCAGTCATGAGGAATTTATTCCAATATCCTGAAGTAGGTCGTAAGTAAATCTGCAATTGTAGCCCATAGAATTTTATCGAACGAAAGTAAATATTTATATCTCCGTTTTCTCTCACGACTGTTCTATAGAAAGTATATATAATTTTTTAATACTTATCTAGTAGATTTTTCTTATTAGAGAAAAACAACATTTTTTCTTTCGAAGCAAATATGAGATATATTTAAAATGCTTAATTTATATGTGAGAAATAAATTACTAACTCAGTATATCCTTAGTACCTCGCCTGATCACGTGCAATCGCCGTGAACCCCCTAAAAAGATAGAAAGATGCTTGAAGTTAAGCATAGAATCAATGAAGCAATACTTAGGAAAGGAAAATACAAATCTGGACATACCATCTTTCGAGCCGTATTACTCGGAGTATTATCAGTTTATCTCGAGAAAAGTATTTAATGGAACTGCGGACTTGACAGATATCACGGTACAAAATCTAAGAAACTTTACGATAAATAAAGTCGAGTAAGTAATAACGATCGAGTAGGTTGATAGATTGATCGAAATTCATGACGCATATTCTGGATCATTTTCCTATACCGATGAACGTAGAATCTAAACCTAAAATCGATTAGTTGAAGAATTTTATTATGTTAATTTTTCACGTTATCGGATGTGTCGATTGTCGGATAAAAAATTTCGAGGGTGATAGTTTTAAAATCGTACTAAGAAACTGAAAAATGCTCTATGTAACAATTTTTGGCATATGCGATAATATCTATTAGACGATAAATCGCATAATAACCGTGATCGAATAAAACGATCCACGTCCATTAATTCGATCGCGGAATCAGTGCATCTGTGTGCAAAACTAGTTTGAAACTATCATTTCCAGAGTTGACGCCAATGTGTCTCGGATTAAATTAGAAGCGTTCTTTCCACTCATAAAATTTCGCGCTATTTACGATATAGACGCTACGATCTTGGGCAAATACTTACGAAAAGAAGAACGCACAGTTATGGGGAATTTTACAGGCGTATCAATCAACGCCACAATAGAAGGTGAATATCGTGTGAAGCCTAAAAACAATGAAGAATATTTCAAAGTGAATAAGGTTCCTGTGGAATTGAGCATGAATGAAGCCACAATCTACTTGAACAACAAAAGAATATTCGATCCTTTACTACAAGAAATAAATTCTCTTCTGAATAGCAACAGAAAAGTAATCGCGGAAGAAATAATACCCAAACTCCAAACGGTTGCCTCCAAAATTATCCGTAGAATCGCCATTAAGATGTTCTCGAACATCCCAATAAGAATATTAATGCCAAGTCTTAACGTTTCCGATGATCAGGACGATGAACTTTCGACTGACGGCTGATGGTCGTTATCACGATTAATTGTATGCACGTTAATGTTTTATATCCAGCGAAAATTCACGTACACTTGTTTGTACGAATTTTCCTGAAGAAATTAGATAGCTAGGCAATGAAATAGCCACATTTGCGAAACACTGGTCACTAGCTTACATAGTAATCTAAGAGAAAACGAATGATAGTACTTGTTGGAAATAGTATTTCTTCATTATACTCTTACCGAACGGATAAAAGTATAAAAAAAATACTTACTACATATTTCCTGAATCCTTTGTTCCATTTGCAATGGCGGATGTCACGTATTCAATCACTTCGGCTTTTGTCATAACCGATTACCATGCAAGACCGTAAGTAGTAGCTCGCAATCGTGACATTTTAGTTAACGACTTAATTAATTTAATACAACTTAGTTATAACTTTATCGCAAGATAGCGAGTACAGAACATTAAATGTAGACTTAATGTTAAAGCGATCCATATACTTTTTATTCCCAATGTGTCGTCAGTTGTGTTCAGCTATATCATACCGAAAAAAAAAAAATTAATCAACCGTATAATGAAACTAGATTTATAATCATCCGTCAAATGAATACACCTGCGTCCGGGAATTTTAGGAAAACAAAAATAACCAACATTCGTTAGAATATTCATGTATTAGAGAAGGCAAAAAAAGAATATTCTTCATTGCGCATACGACATTAACATTCTTACCAATGCGGGAGAATGAATGCGAAAAATTATACAAAGTAATTTGTAGTTTGAATGAAAATAATAAAGAAATACATACATATGAAACGAAATTTGATGTAATATGTTAATCCAAAATAATCTGACCTGTATTAGTACATCAAAAGTTATGAGTCGGTAAGTTACCAAGGAGGTCGCTAAGTTCCAAGGGGCGGGGAGTCTTTATATAGCGCATTGTAGAGGCAAAGTGAAGTTTAAGGATTCCAATTTTTGGATAGATTCAAATAAGGATGGTACTTCCGACTTACCCAATGCAAATTATTTATACTATATTCTCGAAGCAATCAATGTCATTAGGTTTGAGGTTAATATCCTGAAACAACTTACTTTTACTACCTAGTTGTGTTACTTTTTACTAACTAATATTTTATTTACTTTAATATTCAAGTAATGACAATTGATTTACAGCATAGTTGAAATTATACAAGGAGTACATAATGCATATAAATAGAGGTGAGTTTTTCTGCGAAGTATTTACTACTAATTGTAATCTTATTAAAGGTGACTCTCAATTAACATTATTTTAACATTTTTTTGATATTTCCACAGATTTTTACAAGTCATGCCAGACATTCAATCTTCTAGCATCATACAAGTTAGCTCTGATGCAGCAGATTTCTTGCAATTTGTAACAATCAATTTCTTCTGATTGAACATTTTATACAGTGCCTCTCCAATCCTCTCACAGTAATTTTTTAGCCTGAGATGCCAAAATATTCCGGAAGCTCTGCTGATATTTTTTCAAAGTCCTAGTCATAGATATTTTTGTCATACTTAATGTTAAGCCACATGACATTTATGAGATTACACAGGTTACTCAGACCTTCGTAATGCAAACCTACTGACATCGATTATTTCGAGAATATGGTATAAATTATTTGCATTGGGTAAGTCGGAAGTAACATTTTTATTTGAATCTATCCAAAAATTGGAATCTTTGAATCTCACTCTGCCTCTACGATGCGTTAGAAGGAGACTTCCCGGCCCCGAAAACTTTCCGACCTTGGTAACTTACCGATCCCCGGAAGCATATCAACTTTGATAAGTAAACGTCACCCAAAAACTTATCGTCCATGGTAACTAATCGACTCTGGTAACTTATCCATTCTCGAAAACTTATCGACCCTGGTATTTTACCGGCCACAAGAAATTTAACTTACCCATCATTGGTCAGTTTTTATTGTGTTACCCACTCTTACCGACGAAGATTATCACATTGAAGTTCTAACACTGTACGGCAGTGTCGCTCTCTTATGTTGACATTTCTTGAGCTTCGTCATTTGTTGCAGACGCTGTATGAGAGTGTAGCTGCATCGCGAATATCATGAAAAATACAAAACTGCCTATAAACTAGACACGTGTAATACGGCAGCATTTTAAAAAATAACCTCATAAAAGACAGTGAATAACTTTGTTAACATACCTAAAATGTTTTACCTGGGAGACAGAGATAAATATATAAGCATCGTATACCGTTTAATATTGCGGAAAACTCATAATTAAAAGACGCTATAATAGATACTTGACAAGAATTGTATCCTGATAAAGTAAAGTCTGAAACTAGGCACAACTTATTCATCACGAATTGTTAGGACTGACTAAGGTAACAATTGACATTGTTATTGATGCACTTCGCTTTGGATTATTCTCAGTTGTTATAATAAAAGAACGTTTACATCATAAATCGCATTTGCACAATGACAAACTCCAACTTTATTCTTAAATCATGGAGAATTGCCAAAACTTGCAGTAGTGTTAATGTTTGAGATGTTTATAATAATTTATCAATTATATGTTGGTCTATTTGAATTGATCAATCGACCTAATAATATAATTTTGCTTTCATTCATAGGTTCCACCATGTGACAGGACAGTTCTTCATCTTAAGAAGGCTATTATGCGAAGGCTATCGTGCGTATTTTGAAGAGAAAACATCAGGAAGAAAGTAAGTTGGAAACACATTTAGGAGAAATGTCATGTTTGTTCCGAACATATTAAACTTATTACTAACAATTCTAAACAATGACATTCTAATATTGTAAACGTTTTATATATATATATTGATGTTTGAGCAGTCATATGTACAACTTATTTCCTTGTAAAACTAAATATCTTCGAAATGAAATGCACCAAGATCGACATTCCTGTCTGGTCGCTCAATGTTGCATAAATAAAACCCACTTTAGACACGTGCTTTAGACTACATATTTCTTATGCATAACACGATTTATTTTTATTTTAATTTTACTTTCACATGTTGGAATCGAGCCACCTTGCATACATTTTGGATTATCCTAGGCGGAAGAAATTTCTCAAAAACTTTCTAAAGATGTCTGAAGGATATCTAAAAAAAAGAAGAAATAAACGTCTTTTCTGGACATCGTTTAGAAATTTATTCTGTGTCAAGGGCGTTACCTTTCAATAAATATGTTGCGACTGTGATTCGCGATTCGGCTTCTCCGAGTTGCCGGTGCAACACCGACGGGCGAACCTCGGGACGCTAACGAGATTCGGACCTCCACAGGTCCGTAGGGCGCCAGGTGCGCGAGTCGCACCCACTAACGGAAGGCCCCGCGGTCGGCGTCGTCGTCTCTCTCTCTCTCTCTGTCACTGTCGAGGGTTGTCGAACTCCGGGCTCCGCCACAAAACTTCTCGGCTCAACGACAGCAAAAATCGCACGATAACAATCCCAACGAGAAGTAACTAACGAGAGCTACCTTCCTCGGGGAGACTGCTGCTTTTTCAACAGCAGTCTTCCCCCTTCCTTTGTGGTTCCTTATCCCCCTCCTCGGCAGCCGACTTTGCCGGCGAGTCATCTCTGAGCCCGCCGCTTCACCGCCGGCCTATCCCGGCGCGATACCGCGGCTCCGGGCTCCTTGGTCTTGAGCGCGACCTCGGCCCGCCGGCCCTACCGTCGTCGAGGGGTCGGAACGATAGCCCCGGTGGTATCGGCAGCGGCTCCTCGTCGGTCGGCACAGAGCAGAGGCCACAGGGTCCGGTGGGAGCCTCGGGTGGCCTGGGTCCTCCACCCGGCGGTCGACGCTCTGTCCTCTTCTCGCCGCCATTCGGAGCGGGGGTTTACACTCTTCAGGGGCGCGGGGCTCACCGCTACCGCGCGCCCGCGGTCTCCGCTAATTAAAAAAAAAAACAAAAAACTGATCGTGTCAATTTGGCGCTCGTGTGAGCGCGCCACTCGCTTCGCGGTAGGACCTTCGCCCTTGTGACGGGCGCTCCGAGCCGCCACGTCACAAACTCTATCAAGTTCTCGTCCATTTCCTACGCATTCTTGTTACAACTAATGAGGATGCATTGGTATTACAGAGTAACTGGATGGGTGTTTAGGAAAATTGTATACATTTCTACCAGGTTGGAAATCGTGTAATTCTTCAGCTAGGAAATGACACAGCATACACGACTGTGCGCAAGAACAAAGGCGTATCGAAATAACTCGGCGCAAGTCTCGCAGCGTCATGTGAAATATCAGAATTATTATTAGACAACGACGTTCGTTACATACTGGCTTTGTCATTATCGTTATTATCTTTGGTGGCTTGTGTGTCGTATGTATATGCGGACGACGCGTCCAGAGCCTTTACGAGCGTCTGGAGTAATTGATCTTTGTACTCTGTTATTAGTCTCGTTCCGTAATCTTCTACCTCGCCCTGCTCCAATGAACACTGTACTACAGACCACATGACGTCTCTGAATTTTAAGAGCACATCGGCGGTTCTGAAAGACGCCAATGATTTACGCAAATTGACATATATGCTAAGGAGAAGTAGAAATAAATTAACGGGAACTCACCTTTTGTCGCAAGTGAAATTTAACGTATGCTGTTCGTCGACGTTAATTTGCATTTCTGTCCTGTCGTCTCGCTGAAATCCAAGAGAGATGCATTATAATCGTGCAATGTGTTGTCCGCGAGAGAGAGAGAGAGAGAGAGAGAGAGAGAGAGAGCAGCGCTCGGTCTTAAAATTGCTTCAATTACCTCGTGACGTTGGATTTCCTTTTGATTAAAAAGTAACACCGTTAGAGGTGACACCATGCTCGATTCGCGGATCACTGTCCGATGCTTCGTGTCGCAGTGCTCGCCGCGAAAATACGTCAAGTACTGGCTCGGCCAAACCTTGCGCTTGTAATTCACGCTTTCCCCCGAAATCATGGCTTTAAATTTACCTCTGTGAAAGTGCGATTAGATCAATATAATACATGGCTTTCGCATTTAAGATAATTGGAATCCGTAAAGATCCGGAATCCGCCAATTTCTCAGGAATCCTTTGAAATCTTAATTGTATATTGTATATTGATGGAAATATTATCTACACATCTATCAAGTTAGAAGACGACTGACCGTTCGGAAATTGAAATATTCGTAATTAGAATTGATATTTCTTATACGTGTTCCTTGGGATCGATATTCTATTTTTAATTTCTATTTTTAATTTCTTCTAAACTAAATTTAGGATTTTAACAGAAGACCATTGTGATATCAAGGATTAATATACAGATATAATATAAAAACTTCGGGATTACTCGGGATCATTTTGGTATAATAGAATTATAGAAAATTTATAATTTACAATAATACCCGCGGTGCATATATGCGCATATACACATATTTAAATATTTATATACCACTTTCTATTATGTACGCACTTCCATTAAATCAATTAACGTGTAAATAAAGCACATTAATAAGGAAATAAAGTAAATAATATATTCATGTTCGTAATATCGTGTGTATGTATTTGCAGGATTGGGTAGAATTAGGCGTACAAATTAATTCTCAGCCTCTAAATCCAATCAACTGCACATATTTAATTTGAATTGAACTTTTGTTTGCCGCTGTGAAGCAGAAAAATTTGGTGTGCTTTTGTGACTTCAATGATTGAAAGAGTGATGTTTCTGAATGCAACCTGGATGTTTCAAAACAATTGGTGTCTAGTGGTGTGCACACACAGTATGGATTCCCGAACGCAACTCTGTTAGGATTTTGAAATACCAACTTAAAAAGAAAAAAAACCTATAATAACCGACTCTGCAACTCACATAACCTCAAAAAGCAGTAGACAAGTGTAGCAAGCACAATGACGTCCCATAAGCAGCACGTCAGGCATTGCATGCTTTTCGCATTCCAGCTAAAGAAAAATGCCAGCGAGGCGAAGGAAATGATTTGTTCAGCCTTGGGGGAAGATACTGTGTGCTACAGCACATGTAAAAAGTGGTTCCAGAGGTTCCGGGAGGGGAATTACAATCTCGCGGACGATGAGCGTCCCGGACAACCCAGGAAGGTAGCAAACGACGATTTGGAACGGCTGTTGGAGGAAAATCCGCGTCAGTCGCAGTCAGAGCTCGCTCAAGCACTCGGAGTAACCCAACAAGCAATATCTACTCGCCTACGAAAGCTCGGGAAAACTCAAAAGGCGGGCCGTTGGGTTCCTCACGTGCTCTCTCCTGTCAACAAAGAGAGACGAAGAAGGGCGACCAAGAAGGGGAAAACCGTGGGTTAATTCTGATGAAGCATCGACATCGACTTTGAAACCCGATATTCATGGGAAAAAATCCTACTGTGCATTTAGTGGGACATGAAAGATATATTGTATTATGAGTTGCTTAAACTGGGTGAAACTGTCACTGCTGGGCATTATCAGCAATAACTTAACTGTTTGAGTGACGCAATTGAGCAGAAAAGACTGTTTAAAGGAAATGGGATTGGACAAGTGATACTACTGCATGACGATGCAAGGCTATATATGGTGAAAATCACCAAGGACCTGTATATTTGTTTTAATTTCGTGTTCAAAATTATGATTTATTGGATAGTTAACACTTTGCGGGCCGCGCATTTATCGAAGCGCCGTTACGCTGCCGCCGGCGAGATTCACGCAGGTTCTACTGCTCGCCTTCAAAAGTCACGCCAGCGTGACAGCGGCCCGCAAAGTGTTAAATAAAGTTGTAGGAAAATGTTTAAATAGTAAACAGTAAATAGTAAACATGAATGGTATCTTTGTCATCACCATTGAAAATTCGGCATTCTAACTATCTTAAGAATCTACGTTATGTGTCACGTTAGTCGCGTTCAGCAGAACGTTTATTTTACGACTATCGAAAGTTTTCCGTACTGAGATTGGATTATTCTTCTAGATCTAAGGTAGTCCGATCTCAGCTCAGAAGACTTTCAACAGTTGCAAAATAAACGTTCTGCTGAACGTGATCATTCTCTTACCGTATTCGCAGATCGTTCGAGTTCGTTCTCAGGATTCCTTTCTTAAATCCTACATTCGTGTGTTCGATCAACTGTTGCGTAGCAGCGTACAATATAGCGCTAACTAGCTCGTCTTTGTTCTCGTACTTGTTCGCCGCATCCCTGGGATTGTCGTACGCGTGCGTGTCATCTTTCCTCAACAGGCGACATCCGATCATTTGTTGAATAAACATCTGCCGTAATACTGTAAAAAATTATGAATTTACACCATTTAAGTAGACAGATCCGCGTCGATAGAATGATGAATTCGTGCACAGCTCAATTGTATAAATCACATAAATCTTCGTAAAAAGGATCGGAAACCGCGAAATTCTATTTAATTATACAGTGTTTCAGACTAACAAGAACAAACTTTGTGAGGACGTAGAATGGATTGAATTGAACAAAAAAGTCCTTTACCATTTTGTAAATAACATGCAAATTCTTGAGTTATTCATTAAAGAAGCCTCTATACGAGACCGTTTTCAATAATTAATAATTCGAAATCTTGAAATTTGTTGCAAATTGTTTGCAAAATGATACGGGAGTTTTTTATTCACCTCAATCCAGTTGTACGTTCTCACGAAATTTATCCCTGCTGGTCTGAGACATCTTGTATGATAGAAAAATCTTCATATACCAAAATATTTCTACAGGAAAAGAATTTAACAGAGCTACCAGTTACTACATAATGATGTTTTCTCTCGAAGGGTTCGACATTCAAACTTCAAATACTTTGAAGATCTGAAGTCTCGATAATCAATGTTCGAATTTGGATAATATCGAAGCTTCGAGACATTGAAATTGTAAGATTCTTAAATAATGAAAAACATCATTTGAACCCGCTCTAATCTCAATGATTATGTAACAGCCGGCAGAAGTGAAAGATCGAGCAAGTTAACACGACTTACCGGTCAACGTTTCCATTTTCCTATGCCGGAGATTAATCTTTCTGCAGAATTTTATCGCTGAACGTAATTTATACGAATTGTATGTGTACCACGATTTGAAGATCCACGATATCGCGACATGGTCGCTCATCGGATGATACAACGCTTTATTTTTCCTGAGCTTAGATTTCTCGCCCAGTACATCTTGGAAAGGGCTGTCCTCGCCGGAGAAGACGCTGACTATAGACACAACGGGATGTACGCAGCTGTTGCGAAAGCGGAAACAAACAGTGTTAACGTGGAGGAGGCGATCGGAAGATGATTGACGAGTACGCAGAGAGCACAGAGTGCGTTAATGAAACTCACTTGAAAATAGCGGAATATACCAACGCTTTGCTGAACTTGGGATGCGTCGGGAATGCTATCATTCGTTTGCCCAAGGCTGTGAGATTTTCCTCCTCGTCAAAGACTCCGAGGTCTATCAGATAGTTCACCCCTTTCTGTATTCTGCTCGGAGAGGGCGGCTCCAGTAGACCGCTTAGAAAGACCTCCGCCTTTTCGTCCGTATACGATTTAATCTCAAGAATTGTCTTCTCCAAAGAAGTGGACAGCACTCGGGCAATTGGATATTCCTGTAACTTGTCGTATTCCGTTCTTTTGATCATATGATAACTCACGCCTGGTCTGACTCGGCCAGCTCTCCCTTTCCTGCGCGAGGAAAAGCGTGTTTTTTTACAAAATAACATAATTCACATGAATATTCAGAATAATTATGTGATTATAGCTTTTCTTATAAAAAAATATATATATGTATATAGGCAATTATATAGTAATATTATAATTATCTATATATAACTATTAACTATATATAATTATTACATTTATTATATATTTTTTATTTCATATATATTGTGATTATATATTCACTATAACGAAATAAGAACAACATTAATCTTATGCGCATTAATATTATAAAAATAATATATTGCAATAATATTATAATTACCTCTGTTGAATATTCGCCTGGGAGACCCAATGGTTGCTCAAACAAAGCTGATCTTTCGTATCGTCCCATCGCACATCTCTATGTATGGCCGAGTCCACGACGTAACACACGTCGGACACCGTGATGCCAGTCTCGGCGATATCCGTGGCCAAGATAATCTTGCGCGTGTCGTCGGGCACCTCCTGAAAAATCATCCGCTGCGCCTCGTGCGACTCTTTGGAGTGAATCGGCAAGAGCAGCTGTTTTTGCGGAAAGATCGGGTCGTCCTCCAACATTTTCTGCACCTGTACAATCTCAGCCCATCCCGGCAGGAAGCACAAGACAGCACCTTGTGGCTTATTCTCGGAGATCCACTTGATGATCTGCACTATCTTCACGTAATTGACGAAGAGGGATTCGCTATTTTCGTCGTGGTAGTTAATATTCAAGTACGGTTTATACTTTTGTAAGTCCGGCAGGTTCTCGATATCCTCCATGAAGTTCATCTCCACGGGATACAGTCTGCCGGGCACCTTGATGGCGGGGCAATTGAAGTATTCTTGGAACAGGTGGGCGTTTATGGTCGCCGACATGATCAGAACCTTCAAATCGGGATTTCGATCGACCGCCCTCCTCAGCAGGTTCATCAGCACGTCGGTGTCGATGGAGCGCTCGTGCGCCTCGTCCAGGATCACGTGCGAGCATCCTTCTAAGCCGGGAGTGCACTGCAACTTCCTTAGCAGTATGCCCGTAGTGCAATAGAGTATCCTGCCGGGTTCCTGCGGCGTCTCATTCTTCAGTCTCACTTGGTAACCGACGACGTCGCCTAGGATCTCGTTCCTCTCGTGCGCGACGCGATCCGCCAGCGAGATCGCCGAGATTTTGCGCGGCTGCGACACCAGGATGTTGCAATCGGTAGCGTTCCCATTGTGCGCGTAACTGTCCAGTATAAATTGAGGGACCTGGGTGCTCTTGCCGCATCCTGTATCCCCTTCTATCAGTAAAATTTGACTGCGCTCTAGCATAGAAAGAATTTTGTCCCTATAAAATATAAATGACGCATATTTGCAGATTACAATGTGTTCATTGCACCGGGATATGTATGGATGAAATATATCATGTTCCAGTCAGAAATGATTCGTCTAAACGACTTCGTTAATGTCAAAGGGTTATTGATGCAGAATTTATATCGAAACCCCGACTTTTCGAGCAACAAAAAGTTATATAAAGTTATATAAAGTTTAATGAGTTTGATATGTATTTTTGTGTACTTTTCGATATATATTTTATATTTTTCAATATATATATTGAATATATATAAATTAATAATTTAATTAATAATTTCAATATATATATATATAAACATATATTGAAAGAGTATATTTTTAATATGTATGAGTATGCGTATATATTTATATTCACATATTTATATATGAATATATTTTCAATATTTTATGTATATATATTTGATATAATCTTACATTCCCTCTCTCTCTCTCTCTCTCTCTCTCTGAAATCTCTTTTTCGTTCAGAGATTGAATCGACATTGCATCAATGTTATCTTGATATTCAATTCTTATAGGTTTTACGTCAGTAACTCGAAACGGTGTTCTTTCAACGAATCATTCTGACGGATTACGTGAGCCCTACCTAAACTCGAAGATCGGTAGATCAGCGTGCCGTATGCGTCTTTCCGTTAATCTACTTCTCAACAACCGATTACGAAGGTTAATGTTTGCAATATATTTGCTAGGATATCCAAAAGCATCGCAGTCGAGTATGGTTGTGTATATGTTGGGTATAAAAGAATTGTCCGTTCTTTGAATATCAATTTTCTGGATATTACAGATAGATATATTAGTTATAAAGTTGCACAACAGACACATGCGAGTTTCAAATCGACGAAACGTTTATATGTTAAAAATTGTAGTGCAAGGAATTACCGTCCTGTAAATCTCGACCAACTTCTCCATGTTGTCTAAAATTTCAGTAGCTACGCTTAACTCGCAGGGCTTCTCTTGTATTTGCTGGATTTGTTGTTTAGTATACACCAACGGTTTGCCAAATTTTAACTTGCGATTTACTTCTAGCCACTCTAAACACTTCAAAGCTGCGTTCTTGCAAGCCGTTGACTTTTTTATACTGGCTCCCTTGAAAGACATAGTGTTTGGCCATTTGACATTATAAGTAAATTCCCATAGTTCTGAAACAGAATCTTGTTTACAGCTCGAAGTTAAAACTGTTTGGTCATTTAGTTCTTGACACACTATTTTGTAGATTTCCAGTAGAGAAGTCTTCGGTTGCTGATACAAACGCTCTATTCCTGAAATTTTTATCAGAAATTTAGTCTCATCATGAAATTAAATAAGCTGACAAATAAGTGAAGTGACAAGAAATACAACTTAAAAGTAACCATTTTACACATGATCTATATATGTTCTCTTTTCCTCCAGATGAATAAAAATAAATATTTAACAAAAAATTGAAGAATTATTTACAAATTATAATGGACAGGTATCTTAACCATAGATGTTCTATCTCCAATTTGTAGCTCTCAATTGTTTTATACATTATAAAAACCTTTTTAAATTACGATATTTAAAAAAAAGATTCTATACATACTTTTAGATACTACAATATCCTCCCTAAACGTCTTATTTGATGAAAATCTATTAATTTTTTCCTCATTGTGCACATCATGAGATAATTCATCGATATTTTGCTATTAATAAAAATTTTTACTATTATTTCTGGTAGTACAAATTTTAATTATAATTATTAATATATATTTTTTACCTCTTCTACTTTTGTTAATCTGGTATTTATATCTAAATTGTTTGTATTTGTTGCATCTTTAAATTTAAAATCTTTTACCTGTGATATCAAAATAAACATTTTTTTATTTGGAAGAAATTATTGGCTGTGTTCTAATATTCACTGCCAGTACTAAAAATTTGTAAATCTATAATATACATAACATGAACTATAGATTTTCAATATTGTGAGTGAATATCGAAATTCAATCATTATTTTTAAACCATTTGTAAAGATGTATTTTAAGACATACCTTAGTTAAATGTACATCCTCCTCTTTCATAGAAATGCAATATTGCATTGCACTATGTACATTTATATTTTTAATTATATTTTTATATAAATATGGCATATAACATTGTCGGATACTATAAAGAAACTTTCTCTGTGAAATATGTATTTTACACTAAAAAAAAACTTTACGTTACAAAGACAAGCAGATCTACGTACCATTTATATGTTGATCTGTGCCCACCAAATGCTAAAAATGTTTGCGACATTTTAATGTTCAGTTCTTGTATAAACAATTACTCGTGCATGTCAAACTTGTATCCTGAAAGAAAAATTAACTTCTATAACATGTTGAACAATAAATAGATATTAACATAAAATATAAATACGAAATAAATAATAAAGTATTATTTTTTATTTCAATGTTTAGGTTAGGTTACATTCGAACAACTGTATGATCCCGTATTCTCGTTTAGATTAGCACTCACCTCGAATAGCAATAGGAAAAATGAACAGAATTGTAGTTAATGTTTG